ACAATTAATGCAGCAATAGAAGTACCAGGCAGCATTGGCGCGACCTCAACCAAAGTATCTATCTATCTAGCTATCTACACCATGCACACAACACACCACATACATACACACACACACACACAACAGAGACACACACACCACAATTATGAAGTACCCGTCGGGCATTGTTGTCATCTCAAACATACACTGCCCTTTACAAATACCTGTAGCAATGTAAGTGTATGACAAACTATTCATAATAACAGTATTGGCACTTCATAGCTAAAGTTGCTGAACTACCCTCGCTTCAGTCTGCCGTTCTTTATCTGGGGGGGGAGCAGTGGGTCCGCTGGGTGAGTTGACGTCTCTTTTCTGGGGGAGGGCGATTTACCCCCAACCACACGCCTGGGAAGGGTTATCCTTGGTTGGTTTTGGTCACAAGTGAATAGGACAAACAAAAAACGCTTGCGGGTGGGGTTTCTTAATTCAAGCCTTCAGCCAGGTTCTTGATCCGAGTCGGTATCAGCCTTGCGAAAAAATGTAACAATGGAGCGCATGGACATTGCCCTTCGTAGTGGTTTGTGGTCGTAGCACTCCATCTAACCACCGTTCAGCGTGCTTCCGAGTGGATTGCACCACTACGCACCACGTATTCCCGAACCACTTTCTTCATGTGTAATTGTTTATATCCTCTTTTGTCTCTGCGATATCAGTGCTTTGTCGGCACAACGGAGCTAGCTAGCAAAACAAACCCAGTCCGCCAAAACGGAAGTGCATTGCATCGAAGGGAGGAGTTCAGGATGTAGAGCGGAAACGGCTCAATAACTTGTGTATATGAGACTTCAAAGGTCTTTTATTTTGAAACTGTAAATCAGAATGTCTTGATTTTTTCTGAGTGACTAGATGGGGTGTCCTGCTATCACCCTGGAGTGAGATGAGTCTTTGATACTGGACAGTTTTTGTTTTATTCTCATCTAAAAACAGGGATGATAGCTCATATATGAGACTTCAAAGGTCTTTTATTTTGAAACTGTACATCATAATGTCCTGATTTTTTCTGAGTGACTAGATGGGGTGTCCTGCTATCACCCTGGAGTGAGAGGAGTCTTTGATACTGGACAGTTTTTGTTTTATTCTCATCTAAAAACAGAGGGACGATAGCTCATATATGAGACTTCAAAGGTCTTTTATTTTGAAACTGTACATCAGAATGTCCTGATTTTTTCTGAGTGACTAGATGGGGTGTCCTGCTATCACCCTGGAGTGAGATGAGTATTTGATACTGGACAGTTTTTGTTTTATTCTCATCTAAACACAGAGGGATGATTTTTTTTTTACTCTACCGTAATGCATAGGATATTCGCGCACCGCAATATCACGTGCGGGCTGGTTTGACTAGGTTTTCCCGAGTGGAGGCTGGCTTGACCGCAGTATTTATTGGACATTAAACGTTAGCAAGCCACAAACCGAAGAAAGGACTGCGGCTTCCACCGGTGTCAATAATAGTGGGGAAAAAGGTCTTTAGCGTTTTTGCATGCAGCACACTGTAATGTTTATTTAAAGTAATTGGGGCTCTGTTATTTATATTTATGTTCAGCTTAAAAAATTACTTTCTGAAAAACGACTATTCACTTGACATACCCGGCATTTTACCACGTTACAGTGAGTACCTGAACGCCTCAATCTTCCCATCCGGTTAGTGACTTTCCGCTAGCTAGTTAGCTTAGCTGCAGTACACTACAGTGCCCGGTTCATAAATAAAAAAGGAAGTTTGTACCGAAAATGGCAGTGTAAAAACTGCATAAAATGCATTTTTTGTACATTTTATTTTGACCTCACATTGCTGTTACAGCCAAAGGAAGCAAATGTGTTTACATACATTTGAGTTAACGTATTACAAGTTATTTTGTCTAGCGAGCGTTAGCTAAGATAGCTAACGTAATACGCTGCCTGAACTGTGTTTAGCAGGTTAGCTGCTATCATTCAACAGCTACAGCAAGCTGGCTGAAACAAAAGCGTACTAAACCTGAAGTTTTGTTACGAAAGGTAAGTACATTTTATACATTTATGATATTTAGTTTGTATCATAGTACATTATATGAATCGTTACTTACACAACTTATGTTAAGGAACGCACATAGCTAACGCTATAACGCTTATACCATTGCAATACAGATGATATGGAGTTTGCCTAAAATCTGTTAGTTCATTTGAGCAGTTTATTGTCCATATTGTCATGATAAGAACATCCTCTCACTTGCATTAATACAATTGCGTGATTGGCACACCACAAAATGTGCAACAACATCACCTAATATTAGTTTACAAATATTTGTCAACATTGTTTAAACGTTTTCTTGGAACATAAATGCTAGAAATGTATGTATTAGAATTTAGCAACGCCAAGTAGGAATGATTATTCAAAGTTATTTCATTCTATTTATACAGTCTATGAACGATAAACATACATCCTGATGGATTTCAGTATGAATGTATTGCTCAGGATAATTCACCAATCACTGAGATGCCTGTCACTAAACTGAAAATGTTTCCGTTTAGTATGTCTGATTCAGACAGCGATGAGGACCAAGATCGCCCTTTCTCTATAACTGGCTTCCTCTTTGGAAACATCAACGAAGATGGGCAGCTAGAGGATGACAGTGTGCTGGACGATGTGGGTGTTTTACGATTACCAATGCAACATTTAACATTACATGTTAGGTAGTATCATCATGCATAGCAATTAAACAAAGATGATTAGGTTCACGATGGAATTTATGTATATTATTAATATATTTAAACAGCTTACTGTTTACTGTATCACAGCTTGTTGCATCTTTCTGATCTGTTTGTTGTTTATTTTCACCCAGGAGTCCAAAAAGCATTTAGCTGGTTTGGGTTCTCTTGGTCTGAGCTCACTCATTACAGAGATCACTGCAAATGAGGAGGATGATCAAGACGAAGGCAGAGATTCTACGAATGTGGACGCAGATGGTCAGTTTGAATATAAAAAAATGAATCTTGCATTAATTTATTGAGTAACAGGATGTATTGACATTCATATTATTCTCCTCATTAAGGTTGGGTGAAAAGCACAGACGATGCTGTGGATTATTCTGACATCAGTGAAGTTGCGGAGGATGAGACAAATAAATACCGTCAGGCCATGGGGTCTCTGCAGCCCAGCAGGCAAACAGGTGATCCACACACAGCCCTTAAGACTCACATTTGTGGTTGATTGTTGACAAACTGATATCATCTTTAAAAATGCAACTATTTATCTATATTAAAACACATTTTTCACAACATTTTGCAAAGTCAAACCAACACCTTTTGATTCTAAAATGTTTTCCTACCATATTGCTTTTTACCACAATTTTCATCATCGCTACCACGGATGACAAAATACTGTTAAACTGTTGGATTGTTAACATTTTCAAAACATTTGTAATCTTAGATGATGAGGAAGACTACGATGCCGACTGCGAGGATATTGATTCTAAGCTTATGCCTCCTCCGCCACCACCCATTGTTCCTACCGCTGCAAAGAAAGAGGAACCCGTCTCTCAGAGCCCAACTGGTAAGGGCATGTTTACTCAAAATAATGTCCTCTTCTACAGCGCTGCAACTATTGAGTGTATACACGGATCATATTGTAAACTCAATACATTCAGATTAGGTTTTAGTACTTAAGATCACAAATATCCAACGTCGTCTCTTCCTAGTTGGGGAAGAGGGTGATGGCATCATCCTGCCCTCCATCATCGCGCCATCCTCTAACGTCGATAAGGTCGACTTCAGCAGCTCTTCAGACTCTGAGTCAGAAACTGACCGTCCCTGCCAGGGCTCAGGGGCTGGAGGCCCCCCAGATAGTCTCACCCTCCCCCTCGCTGGCATCATGCAGAAAGATGCTGCCAAAGCACTGCCAGGGGTCACAGAGCTCTTCCCAGAGTTCAGGCCTGGAAGGGTAAGGGACTGTCCTGAACTGAGTTGTATCATTACACATTCATATTATCGTGTTTAAATCAAGGAGTCCACTGACGCCATCTGTCTCCCGGATGTTACACCAGGTGCTTAGGTTCTTACGCCTCTTTGGTCCTGGAAAGAACATGCCGTCAGTTTGGAGGAGTGCTCGCAGGAAGAAGAAGCGGAAGCACCGAGACCCTCAGCCTGGGACGCCTCCGCCAGAAGGAGAGCCCACAGAGACAAGCCCCGATAAAAAGTCTGGATGGATTTACGAGTATGCGCTGCCTCCACCACCAGAGCAGTGTCTCTCTGACGATGAGGTACATTTTCAAATGTTACAGGCTATTGTAGAATAGTTCCCACAATTCATTAAAAATAGCATTGATTTTATTAATCCAAAAATAAGAGCTTAATCAAAATGTCTTTAATCAAATTGAATATTGTACTAAAATTGTTAAAACATATGAATTAGGATCTAATTAAGTGCTTATTTTTTCTCTTACCGACATTGCATTTTAAAATCTCAATAATTTGTAAGATAAAAAAAAAAAAATTACATTTAAATATACCCAAAGCCTTTTGCATTAATGTAACGACGACCATAACAATGAATTAAACCTTTAGTTAAATGTTTGCGATCGGGATGCTCAGAGCAGAAGCACTATTGCTTTGTGTTACAACCAACTTGGAAAAACTCTATCCCTTTGTTGTTTTAATTTGAAATGGCTTACTGTGAAGTAGGTCTTGCATTCAATTCAAGTAGCAATACAAAAAGTCTTAAATCTAACTTTCCCTAAGCTGTGGGTATCCCTGTATAGACTCTCAAAGCATCTGGTATTACTCTGGCATAAGCCATCGTATCCGGCACTTTACATGCTTTTCTTTTCCGTCCAGATAACCATGATGGCTCCGGTAGAATCCAAGTTTTCCCAGACTTGTGGTGACGGGGACAAGGAGACAGAGGCTAGACCTAAAGTAGCAGAGTGGCGATACGGTCCGGCCCAGCTCTGGTACGACATGCTTGGCGTCCCAGAGGATGGAAGCTACTTCAACTACGGCTTCAGGCTCAAAGAAGAGCAGAGCAGTGAGCATCAGGAGCACGACACGTTTACAAAAATACAAGAGACTTCACATAAGGTAAGCAGACGTGAATATCTGTAGCCCTAACAAGATAATATGGTGATTGTGTTACTTACATTGTGTATCATATATCCCTAGATTCTGAGGCGAGAAGAGGACGACAATAATGAAAATAATGGAGGAGATAAGGACGTTTCAGACCTTGAGAATGAGCTCTTCCTGATGGTTACTCAACTGAAATGGGAGGAAGATATTATCTGGAATGGGGAGGATGTAAAACACAAGGGCGCAAAGACTCAGAGAGCTAGCCTGGCAGGGTGGCTGCCCTCAAGCATGACCCGCAACGCCAACGCGTACAACGCACAGCAGGGTAAGAAATCAACAAGAAACACAAAGGTTAATCTTGCGATATTATTTTTGTGTGTCACCCAAACTAAACCCAGAGGCACAGGCGGGGACACAATGTAATATTGTAATGTAAATACATGTATTATTATCGATTTAATCTTACAGGTCTGACGAGAAGTAATTCCCTGTTGGTGCCACCCACGCCTCCCCCCATGCCAAAAATGCCTTCAATCACTGGCTCGAAGCGGGAGAAAAACAGCCATGACCATCATAGTGAGTTAATGTTTACGTCCCAGTACACATAATATATTCAACAGACCTTTGTGTCACAGGCTAACATCTCATTTGCCTTTTTATTTGTTTTTTGTTCCACCTTCAGCCTCTCATGAAGAAGGCTCTCCCTGGTTCTCCATTTTCCCCATTGACAGCGAGGAGTTGGTGTATGGACACTGGGAAGAGAACATTATCTGGGACGACCAGGAGATGGATCACATGCTCATGCCACCTGTTCTTACACTGGACCCCAATGACGAGAATATCATCCTAGGTATATTCAGGATTCACATATTGTTGGGCTACATATTACCTTATTATTATTATAGATATTATAACATCTTTCCAAATTTGACATCTTTCATTGAAATTGGGCATAAATGTCCAGAAGGACTTTTCCATAGTTTGTTTTTGAAAGTTGAATAATCACAATAACAAAGACAAATATCACCTGTATGAATACATGTCTAAATGTTTATGTGACTGTGTGTAATTGACATCATCTACATAAACAAAACATCTAATATTAGTTTGTAGGTAAGCGTGCAAATCCTGTGCACCAGTATATGCAAAATAATTTGACAACTATTCTACAAACTTTAACTAAAGTTTGTCAGAGCACTGAGGTGGATAGTTGGCTTATTTTGACAAACTGCTGTCCCCTGTAGAAATGCCAAATGAAAAAGAGGAGATGACTTCCCACTCCCCGTCAAAAGAAAATAAGAAGGAGACGGCAATCAAAAAGAGCCGCATCCTGCTGGGGAAGACAGGGGTGATCAAAGATGAGCCACAGCAGGTAAGCTGCCTCCTCAGGGCAGAGGAAGGAACATGTTGGATTTTATGAGATGGCAGATCACAAGGTCCGTTGCTTTAGTGAAGATGTGTCATTTGTATCAGAAAATGCAAACTAGATACAAATAAATTGACAGAATTAAGACTTTATTTGATAGTTCCTAGCCTCTATCAATCATAGACTATTTGTACAATTGGATTCCAGTCGTGGCTGTAGGATTGTTTCCAATTTTTGTCATCCAAACATTTCCAAGAACGCTGTAGTCCAAAAGTCTGAAATTATTGAAAAGGTTGGATGTCATTTTATGTTTTTATCTTACAAATATTTGGTACAGCTGTAGACAGGACACTTGCCCCTGAGGATTATCATGTTGTTTAGCACCATCAAGTGTGAGAAGCAACTATAACATTTCTAAAAAAACATCAACATGACTTTGATTGGGAAATATGGTTTCTCTCCACTCAGAACATGTCCCAGCCTGAAGTGAAGGACCCCTGGAACCTCTCCAATGATGAGTTCTACTATCCCAAACAGCAGGGCCTGAGGGGGACGTTCGGTGGCAACATCATTCAGGTCAGTGGAGCCCACAGAAATAAAGATAGAGCCAAACGAGCATGATCAAAATGGGAATGCTTTAAATTGTTGTAATTTGAAGTGTCGATGTCTTATAATTTGAGTGAATATATCAAACAGCACTCCATCTCGGCCCTGGAGCTGAGGCAGCCCTTCTTCCCCACTCACATGGGGCCCATGAAGCTGCGGCAGTTCCATCGCCCGACTCTGAAGAAATACTCGTTCGGATCTGTGGCTCAGCCGGGTCCTCACGCTGTGCAGCCGCTGCTCAAACACATTAAGAAGAAGGCCAAGGTGAGGCAAAACAAGCACTTTGTATTCAGAGCATTCAGAAAACCTTTTTGTGCTTTTGTTCATAACCAAGTGTGTGTGTAAAATATATTTGTTTTGTATAGATGCGAGAGCAGGAGCGACAGGCAGCAGGAGGAGGAGACATGTTCTTCATGCGAACCCCGCAGGACCTGACGGGTAAAGATGGAGATCTGATCCTGGCAGAGTACAGTGAAGAGTACCCGCCTCTCATCATGCAAGTCGGCTTGGCCACTAAGATCAAAAACTACTACAAGAGGGTGAGTCTACTTTTAGTTTTTTGCCTCATGAGGTTGCGATTTTCTTTTAGCCAAGACTTGCCAACTTGTTAAAAATTGTCAACATTTTGATTGTCAATTTTTTCCATTTGCAAAATAGTTTTCTATGTTATTATGGTGTTAGTTTAATTAATTTAAATGACAATTGCAAACTACATATTTAAATACAGGTGGAATAAAACACCAAAAAAATGCAATCTTTGAAAATATACATTTCTTACCCAACTCAATCTTTTAATTGAAGATATTCCACATGTTCAAAACTATTTAAATGAAAATCCTGTTTAACATTGAACAATCATCTTTATGGCGTTGTTATTTGTACTCTTCAGAAACCTGGAAAGGATCCTGGAGCCCCCGACTGTAAATATGGAGAGACCGTGTACTGCCACACATCCCCTTTCCTGGGTTCCCTCCACCCTGGACAGCTCCTGCCGGTCAGCACCATCACAGTCAACGATTCAGTTCTCAGATTAGAGTCAAATATATGCAGAGCCTCACTGCTCTGTTATCAAGGCAAACAGTGTGATGGTACATCTTTGTTTCTTTCAGGCTTTTGAGAACAACCTCTTCCGTGCTCCTATCTACCTGCACAAGATGCCCGAGACCGACTTCTTGGTTCTGAGAACCCGACACGGCTACTACATTAGAGAGATTGTTGACATATTTGTTGTTGGTCAGCAGTGCCCCTTATTTGAGGTTCAAGGGCCCAACTCAAAGCGAGCAAACACTCACATCAGAGACTTCCTACAGGTGCGCTTGATTGCCTGAACTCTCCTAGATACTTGCGCTGCTGATTGTTCCAAATTCTCACTTGTCACATGTCCACACTCTGCAGGTGTTTATTTACCGCCTGTTCTGGAAGAGCAAGGACCGGCCCCGGAGAATCCGCATGGAGGATATAAAGAAAGCGTTTCCCTCACACTCAGAAAGCAGCATCAGGAAGCGGCTGAAGCTCTGTGCTGACTTCAAACGTACAGGTAGACCACGCTCAGCATTAACCCCGTCCGCCCGCCATTCAGTGATCATTATCATGTGTTGGACTAACCTAATCCAGTTCTGCTATGTCAGGGCCGTATTGAGGTTATGAAGTTGATCTCAGCAGTGTGTGCCTTGAATTGACAGACAGGGATCTAAGCAGGGAAAGAGCTTGTTACAACTACTATGGATATTACACGAAAGGTAAGATTTAGTATAAGGACAGTATGAGGTCACATGGTAAAACATGCCAAGTCTTTAAATAAGCAAGTTATGGTTTTGTGTAATGCTTTTCATTTCATAAGTCTTACATACTTGTTCCTGGACTTGTTTGTTGCCTTTAATATATGGAGTCATTAAAGGGTCAAATAATGTATCTCTGTATAACCATATCTGAATATATGAAAAGGGTTTTGTGTGAATGCTTACAAATATTTCGATCAAATTAATTTATATATGTAAATAATGTCTGAACATATTGATTACATCTTTTTAATTCACAAAGAGCTGTGTAGCTTTGCATGACATTTTGTACGACATTTTGTAAATCTGATGGAAACAAAAAAAGATTTACACAGGTACATTTCAATGAATAACAGCAAAGCTTTGCAAAATATATTTTTCATGCGCTCACACATTGGAAACATTTTGAGCAAATCTCTCTTTCTTTTTTTTACTACAAAATGTCATGCACTACTCGCAGATTAAAAAGTATAATTTGTTCAGATTCAATGATGTGGCGATGCACGGGTACAATTTATATGACCTTCTATTGACCCCGTACTAATACTACATTATGTGTTCAAAGTTAAGGTGGTAGATATGAGAAAACCCCTAACGGTATCTTGTTGTCACGCCAGGGATGGACTCTAACTGGTGGGTGCTGAAGCCGGACTTCAGACTGCCCACAGAGGAGGAGATCAGGGCCATGGTGTCTCCAGAGCAGTGCTGTGCTTACTACAGCATGCTGGTGGCAGAGCAGAGACTCAAGGTAACAGTATCCGCCACTCAGAACGGTAAACACAGGTGAGTGTCTGGGCACGGTTCACTATAACTTATTTTACCCCATCAGGATGCTGGATATGGTGAGAAATCCTTCTTTGCTCCAGACGAGGAGAACGAAGAGGACTTTCAGATGAAGATTGATGATGAGGTATGTGTTCCTTCTTAATTAAGTTGTGTCTTTGTCATTTGAAATACGAGAAAACATTTCAGATTTACACAGTGCTGATCCTGTGTGACACATCTTAGGTGCGGACAGCTCCTTGGAACACAACGAGAGCCTTCATTTCGGCCATGAAGGGGAAATGCCTGCTAGAGGTGTCGGGCGTGGCCGACCCTACAGGCTGTGGAGAGGGCTTCTCCTACGTCAAAGTGCCCAACAAGCCCACTCAACAGAAGGTCAGACTGCTTAAAGCTAAATTGTGCTAACCCAATATTCTGCCTTTTGTAAATATAAAGACAAACTTTGACCAAGTTTGGTCTTTCAGGACGACAAAGAGCCGACGCCTGCCAAGAAGACAGTGACGGGGACAGACGCTGATTTGAGGAGACTCTCGCTGAAGAACGCCAAGCAGCTGCTGCGCAAGTTTGGAGTTCCAGAGGAAGAGGTAAGACCTAAAGCTGAAGTGGGACAGCCTAGTGATTTAAATCTCAGTAGAACAAAACAAATCTGCTGTCTACTTCTCGATCAAGCTACCTCAGATTTTCAACAACTGGAACCACTTTTAAAAGAAAGCCATTTATGTTCATGAAAGTGTTCTGAAATTGCTCTCTGTTGAATGGTGTGCACTGAAATTGCTCTTTTTTTATTCTTACCAACCTGTCTTTTTAAACTTTTGTTTCCTTTGTGTGATCTAGATCAAGAAGCTCTCCCGCTGGGAGGTGATTGACGTGGTGAGGACGATGTCCACAGAGCAGGCGCGTTCAGGCGAGGGGCCAATGAGCAAGTTCGCCAGAGGCTCTCGTTTCTCCGTTGCGGAACACCAGGAGCGCTACAAGGAAGAGTGCCAGAGGATCTTTGACCTGCAGAACAAGTGACACTCTAATTTAGAATCTTATTTTGTATGTATCATTCTGGATTCGGTCTGAGCTCACCTTAAGTCCCTTTTCCTGTTGCACATCTACCACAGGGTGTTGGAGTCGGGGGAGGTGCTCTCTACAGACACAGACAGCAGCTCAGCGGAGGACAGTGACTTCGAGGAGATGGGGAAGAACATCGAGAACATGCTGCAGAACAAGAAGACCAGCTCCCAGCTTTCCCGCGAGAGGGAGGAGCAGGAGAGGAAGGAGCTGCAGAGGATGCTGATGGGGGAGGAGAGCGATCGTGATCACAAGGGACGCAAGGAGCGACGCAAAGGCTTGTGTGAGTCTCTGTTCCTAAAAGTCACACGGTGCACCGAGGACATCTCTATCAGCTGTGTTGGGTTCAAAACAGTTGGTCTCTTACTGTAATCGCTCCTTTCCTTCACTCTGCAGCCAGCTCCTTATCCACCAGCTCCCACAAGGACGACGACACCTCCTCCGTCACCAGCCTGAACTCTGCGGCCACAGGGCGGAGACTCAAGATCTACCGCACCTTCAGGGATGAGGACGGCAAGGATTATGTCCGCTGCGAGACGGTGCGCAAGGCCTCCGTCATCGACGCCTACACCAGGATCAGAACCACCAAGGACGAGGACTTCATGTGAGTGTCTGTTTCAATTGGGGCTTTGATTTGGTTAAAAAGTCTGCCCTTTACGTATGAAGTTTTATATTATGCAATTAGTTGTTGTTTGCAACAACATACAATTTCCTTATTTTAGGTTAGTCATTCAATTCAAAATCATTTAGGATATCAAGCTCACCTTTGCCTTTTTTTACTTCGGGTTTTGTCTTTTTTTGAACATTTATAACAGTACCGTAATTTTCGGACTATAAGCCGCGCCTTTTTTCCCATTTTTCGACCCTGCCACTTATATAACGGTGCGGCTAATCTATGGATTTTTACAGCTAACGGCCACTAGGGGACCTCCTAAATCTATGGATTTTACAGGTTACAGTCCACCACCTTTAACTCTATGGGCTCTATGGCCGGTCCGCGGACCCCCAACTTTAAGCGGCGGGTTCCAGCAGGAAAAGCTGGAGGCCGGAAAAGAGTGAGACAGGTAGCGCGCAAAAGTAAAAGTGGAACCGAGAGTGGTGCGAGAGACAGAACGAGAGCAAGACAGACAGACATTACNGCCAAGGCACACNTTCCCGACAATCCCCTCTGTGCACGAACCCTTACATATGGTAATTAAACATTAAAACACCTGCGGTTTATAGTCCAGTGCGGCTTATATATGTACACATCATTCAATTTAGCTGCTGCGGCTTATATTCAGGTGCGCCTTATAGTCCGAAAATTACGGTAAATAAACGAGTGTACGGAGGTAGAGTAAAAAAACATTGATGTTCAAAAGGGTACAAAAAAAGTGTACATAAAAATAAAGCCATAAATTGTAGATTACACTCGACGCCTCATCCCGATTGTACCAGTGAATTTAAAACAGCTGTCATTGTGTGTCTTTGTTGTTGCAGAAAGAAGTTTGCCGTCTTCGATGAGCAGCACAGAGAAGAGATGAGGAAGGAGAGGCGGCGTATTCAGGAGCAGCTGAGGAGGCTGAAGAGAAACCAGGAGAAGGACAAGATTAAGGGACCTCCAGAGAAGAAGGCCAAGAAGCTCAAAGAGAGGCCAGACCTCAAGGTCAAAGTAAGTCAACGGATCATTCCTACCCTCCTCTGTCACTTTGCTTTTCCTCGCCAGGCTTGCATTGGTGTAATGTAGTTCTCTCTGTATTATGATCACACAGCACAGTCAGATCATCTCTAATGTTATTCCTCTTTTCCTCAGTTAAAGTGTGGAGCATGTGGAGCCATCGGACACATGAGGACCAACAAGTTCTGCCCGCTCTACTATCAGACCAACGCGCCGCCTTCCAACCCTGTTGCCATGACAGAGGAGCAGGAGGAGGAGCTGGAGAAGACCGTCATCCACAACGACAACGAGGAACTGATCAAGGTGGAGGGCACCAAGATCGTGCTGGGCAAACAGCTCATCGAGAGGTAAGGGATTCGCCTCCTTCCTCCTCTCTTACCATTGAAAATAATTGTGAAATTCTTCCAGTTTAATTAATCAATCACTGCAGCATTTTCTAAATGTGAGTCACGCTTATATAGTGTTTATAAATGTTGTGTCACCTGTATCCCCTCTTGTTCCTCATGTTTTTATTCTCTCCTGCAGTGCTGATGAGGTGCGCAGAAAGTCTTTAGTGCTCAAGTTCCCCAAACAGCAGCTCCCCCAAAAGAAGAAGAGACGCGTAGGCAACGCGGTGCACTGCGACTACCTTAACGTAAGCTATGTTTCACAGCTTCTTCTAACACATTTGAATCTGGGAGTTACTAAAGTTTACACTTTACACTGTTTTTGTTTCATTACATTCACAGAAACCACACAAGGCCATCCACCGCAGACGCACTGACCCCATGGTGACCCTGTCTTCTGTGCTGGAGAGCGTCATCAATGACATGCGGGACCACCCTAATGTAAGATCTGGAGGCATTCTCCTCGACAAAATGTCATTGACTAAGATTACATCCTCAAAGAAAATGCTTTCACCTCCATTCCGAAATGGGTCCGGTGTTTTTATGGCTAAGGATATTTCACTCATATTCCCACTTACATGCTATTGTTCTGTTAAGACTTTTTTCTGACAGTGGCAGACTTGTTTGAGTGTGCACACACAGCCGCTTTGTTTTGTTCATTCAATTAAAATCATCCATAATATTTCAAATTAGCTGTGCGTGTCCATTTGACCAGAAATGTGGGCATGTATTTTGGGTATGCACCTCTAATTAGTTTGTATACAACACAGTATTTTGGATGGTCCACCAGCAGGAGGTTGTAAGTCACATACGGAGATAAGAACCACAACATAGAAGCATATTGTGAACATGTCATATATCCCAAAAATGCTCCTAAAACCAGAAAAACATTTGCATATCCCACAAAGTATAAACAAAATATTATTTTTGAATAAAGGCCTTTCTCCTCTTGACTTCTTCGTTCTCTCCCTTGCAGACGTATCCGTTCCACACACCAGTGAATGCCAAGGTTGTGAAGGACTACTATAAGATCATCACGCGGCCCATGGACCTGCAGACGCTGAGGGAGAATGTGCGCAAGAGACTCTACCCGTCGAGGGACGAGTTCCGTGAAGCCGTGGAACTTGTCGTCAAAAACAGCGCCACCTACAACGGTAGAGTGTTTAACCACCTCTTCTGAAAACACACACAAGTTTTACTCTTTTTTGACTTTCAATTTAAACTTGCATCAAAGTTTAAAAGCAGGTTTCTGTTTTTGTTCCCCCAGGCGCAAAACATCCCATAACGCAGGTGGCCCAGTCCATGCTGGACCTGTGTGACGCTAAGCTGAAAGAGGTGAGTGTTAAAGGGGACCTATCATGCAAAATGCACTTTTTCATGTCTTCTATACATAAATATGTGTCCCCGGTACGTCAGGGAACTCACAAAGTGTCAGAAAATAAAACCCTCTCTCTTTTCCTCCGTAACCAAATCTCTAAAAACGGGGGTACAACGGAACTGATCCAGATTTGCGTCCGATATGACGTAGTATAGGAAATGCGGCCCCACGGCCCTATCAGAAACTTTTCTATCAGAAACAATGCCCGACTGTTTTGGACGTAATATGGTCCTTGTTTACGTTAGCAAGCATCGCTAACACTCAGAGCTAACCTGTACTGGAGAGAGCATGTGTAAAAAAGCAGGAAATAAAAAAAGGAACTCACTTTGTGTTAAACCTGCAAGAGAAAAAGCATTTGAGCTCCATACTGTTTCAGAAATAATCCTTGATGTGGTTTGGAACATGACGTTGGCGTTTAATCACGGCAGCGTTTAGCTGAGTATCTCGTAGAATTCTGAGCAGGCATTAGCTAAGGATCCAGATCAGCCATTCTCTAACAGGGCTTAAACAGAGGGATATGAGGGAAGTCTAAAATGCATGATCTGTTTGGTATTTTGAGCAAAACACATCATAGACATGTTTTTAATATATTTGTATATATCTGAGACCCATAATATATGCCTAAAAATAGCATAATAGGAGACCTTTAATGTTAATGTTTGGTCTTGCTGCGCTTTTTTTTTGTCAATGTTCACATTAACCATAAAACCCAATGTGTGTGTTCGTGTGTGTGCAGAAGGAGGACAGGCTGGTGAGGCTGGAGAAAGCCATCAACCCGTTGCTGGATGATGACGATCAGGTGGCCTTCTCCTTCATCCTGGACAACATCGTGACCCAGAAGATGATGGTCGTTCCCGATGTGAGTCATCCCTCCTTAACCTTTTATTATTTTATCTTAATCAGTTCACATGCAGAATGAGTTAATGACCTCATGTCTGAACTGCTCCCTTCACTACAGTCATGGCCGTTCCACCATCCTGTCAACAAGAAGTTTGTCCCCGATTATTACAAAGTCATCGTATGCCCCATGGATCTGGAGAACGTCCGCAAGGTAAGAGTCACACAAGGTGTCATCTTCAAAAATAACAACTCATTGAATATTTTAAAAATCAGCAATACAGAAACTGTGCTTCTTTATTGATTTGTGTTTCCTGCTTCAACAGAACATTTCCAAACACAAATACCAGAACCGGGATGTGTTCCTTTTTGACGTCAGTCTCATCCACGCCAACAGTATCAAGTACAATGGTAATTGAGTTAACATCACCCTGATTATCTACAGTCCCATATTGAGGTAAAGATGTTGTTTTAAGCTCCATTTCCTCTCTTTGTTTCTTCCACAGGCGCAGAGAGTCCTTACACTAGGACGGCTCTGGATATTATCAGTGTGTGCAAGCAAACCTTGGCAGAGGTACGTTGAGTCTTTTAGTCATGGAAGGAGGAAGTGGCATGTTAATGAGTTATGTATGCAGTAATCGGGCTGGGCTTTACCATCTGACCAGAGCAGCTGTAAAGCAATCATGCTAACAATCTAACAGGGTGTACAAGATGAACATTTATAAAGAACCTTCTCATCTAATGAGTAGTTATCCCTCCAGATATTTACAACCCCTATTGTCTTATATAATAGTTACAAATATATATATATATATAATATTGACATAGTGTAGAGTTATATAACAAAGAAGCTAAACAATAAATCCTACTGTGCATCTAATATTAGATTCCTACAGATTGCCCTTGACCTCTCCAAATATATCTTGCAAGCACGCAAAATGTGCACTAGGGAACACAATAAAAGAAAGACAAATAATTATTTTTATCACGTGTGTGTAACAGAGTGAAGCTGTTAGTGTTTTAATTGTTTCTTGTTTAACAGAGTGTTGCGTTGAATTCACATCTTGTTTAAACTCATTGCTAATGGCAATAAAGCTTGATTTCTTACCTGTGGATTTACATGAATTCATATGGAATTTGGCCATTCAAATGAAATGATGAATCATGTGCAGGTGGTTTTCTATGTATTCGCTATGGGAGACCACAACCTTTTTATGATTTAAGACGGGAGTAAAAACATAAATCATTGCTGTAATACCGACATTGTTCCCCCAGTACGATGAGCACCTGACGCAGCTGGAGAAAGACATCTCTACGGCTAAAGAGGCGGCTCTGGATGCAGCAGACCTGGAGTGTCTGGACCCGATGACGCCCGGGCCGTACACACCGCAGGTAGGAGAGCAGCCCAGTGATTGGTGGATTCTTGGGTATCTTCCTTCTTTGACCATAGACTCAAGACTTTCAGCTATTTATAACGTGCCACTTCTGGTAGTCTATACTTTTCTTTGGGCACTAGTCTCCTTTCCACTCCTTGTAGTGATTCCAGCCATTTAATTTCTTCCTTAGTCTCTGCACTAACCCTCCTTTCCAGAATGTTTCACTCTAGTTTCCTTACTGTAGTTTCTCCTTTCTCCCACCCTGTTTTTCTCCTGCTGTCTCGCCCTGCCTCTCCCTTTGTGTGTGTCGCTGTGTGTGGTGTCGGCCAGCCTGCTGATCTGTTTGACAGCGGGGCGTCAGGGAGTCTGCCCAGAGACAACAGCAGCCTGTTCTCTGAGGGACCGCTAGTGGTTGCTCCAGAGAAGAGAGGGGGGCAGGTATGGAGAGAGACAGAAAAACGGCTCGCAACCACATGCCACCTCTCCTCAAACTATCCTCAGAGCAAACAGCTTGATCACCGGCAATCTTTGAACCAACACAACATTACAGACAACATAACAGACTAGAATCAGTGTAGTTATAAGACCATCTCTTTCTTTTGACAAGAGGTCTCATTAGACTTTTAACGCACTGGCCCGCAGGGTCGCCACGGCAGGAGACCCGGGGAGGAAGAGTCAGATGTGGACTTTGAAGGTTTTGAGGAGGAAGATGATGGCAATCCCAAAACTCCTGCTCCTGTACGAAAGACAGATTTAGTGACAGATTATGTAGATTTGAGGTCACCGCTAGAGTACATTCAGACACAAAAGAACATTTGCCACCAAGTACGCTCACATATTCATGCGAGTTACTAAATCACTTCAAATTCGGTTCAAGCCTTTTCTCAAGCCTAATATTCGAATCCAGCAAAATTCAAGAATAAACAAACTATTCTTCTATTTCTAATATTTGCAGTTGGATGGCCTGGTTGAGGTGAAATGGGGTTAACATTTCCACGCTTTGGGAATTGTACAAATCTATTTCTTTGCACACTTTCATCTCTTTCTTTGTCAGACTGGCACTTTTCAAACATTCTCTTTGTGCTATTCAATCATACTATTTTAATGATTTATTTTCTTGATTTGTACTTGTATTTACCTCCACAACGCTTCAGCTTGCTTTCTTCTTGGTTAAGTGTTTATAACATATTTGTCTGCCCTGTCTTTTGAGGCCGAGGACGCAGACGGAGATCTCGAGGACGACGATGACGAAGAGGACATGTTGCTGCCCCCTCGCAGACAGATGCTCGACCATGAAGAAGAGGAGGAGGAGGAGGAAGACGACGGACTATCTAACCGCCCGGCACAGGCCAGCGTCCTGTACCAGGACCTGCTCATGTCTGACGGAGAGGACGACGCCAGCGAAGAGGAGGGCGACAACCCCTTCTCCTGTAAGTCCTGGGGAGGAAGCAGAAAATGGTCACAGCTGTTCTAAAACAAAAGTTATTTAGAAATAGAAAAATCCTCATGACAGCAGTATTGTGCTGCACATTTACACTTACAGGTCTCCTATTATATTATTTAGGCATATATTATAGGTCTCAGATATATAAAAAACATGTCTATGAAGTGTTTTGCTCAAAATACCAAACAGATCACCCATTCTAGCCCTGCCTCATACCCCTCTATGTCAGCCCTGTTAGAGAAGTGCTGATTCTGGGTTCGCTTTAAAAAATAAATAAACAACAAACTGATAAACTGGGTCAAAGGAATGGACCTAGGAAAATATTTCCCCAACACCGGGGACACATATGTATGTATAAAAGACATCAAAAAGTGCATCAAAATGCACTTTTTGATGTCTTTTATACATACATATGTGTCCCCGGTGTTGGGGAAATATTTTCCTAGGTCCATTCCTTTGACCCAGTTTATCAGTTTGTTGTNGGCTGTATCGTTATTGGAAATGAAAAAGTTATATTTAGCCACACCTTCACTGAGCAGAGTATGTGTAAAGTTTTATGCAAAATTAGTTTTTTCCAACTACTTTTTTCTGAGAGTTCAAGATTCTGTGATATAAAAAAGCCATGTTTTATTTGTTATATTCCAAAATGTCACTGTGATGTGAAGACTTGAAACAGCCAGTGCGCAAACAAGGACAGATATTTTATCCAGCAGTTAAAACTTAGAAATTAAAATAGATCCTGGATATTCTTCAATGAGATGAGACGGCGGATGGCATTTCAAGAATTAAGAATAAAAAACTGAATAAAAGTACAACACAATACCGAGGCACGTTTTTGTATTTAACTGCATTAATGAAAGTATGAAGCCGGTTACAATGTATGATGGAGAAAAGAGGACAGATTTAATAATCTATGACTGTGGCTTTGATCAAATATACACAGAGATTAATAAACTGTATCCTCAGAGTGTGTGTGTGTGTGTGTGTGTGTGTGTGTGTGTGTGTACACTAAAAACATTCAGCAAAAGCTCCAAACACCACATGAACAAAAAGTGACATGGTTCTGGAAAACATGTCTTATCTTATACTACAGTGAGAGTGGTCTGAATGTAAAGTCTAAATCTCCCTAAAAGATAAACACCATTGTGACATATTGTATCGCTCAACCAAGGCTATAACCTATAGGTTTAGCATATTAGTTTGTGATGGTATAGTAATTGGGTGTCTCTTTTTCTTTTCTTGGTAGCAACCCCTCGACTCTTTAATCCACATAAGCTCATGATGCTTCTTAAATCCAGCCAATCTGTTAGGTGTCTAAATTTAACAGCGCCCTAATCAACTAATCTGGGTCAATAGTTGCTATGGTGAAGCTAAACACAGTTCAGCTCCTGCAGAGCAAAAGAACCATAGTTGGGACTGTAAAGAATCACATTGTTGAGGATGAAGATTTAGCCCAATTTTGTCTGATTCTGGTCCACCTAACATCGTTAAAATGGAGGAGTAAGGACAAGAATTTTAACGAGATTTGAGGATTTAGATGAGAAAAATGGAACTCCAAAACCATCTCCAGGGCGATTGGAGCCCGTATATCTGCAATCAACCACCAGAGGAGTTTGATACAAGACCAAACCATCATCATCTCTGCAATGAGTTAACAAACAACTCTGTGCAGCTGAAGGGCAATTCAGATCCATACTGCAGCATCTGGAAGGACAATGAGCAAACAGAAGTCAAGAATTGTAACAATCGGTCATTTGCCATGGATGCTAGAATAAGACTAGATCATTTGAAGTCAGGGTGCCATTCACCCTGTTCCACGGATGGGATGTTGTACAAGTATAACTGTCAAAATGACAGCTGGGACAGTGAAGACTCCCGGGAAGAAGACTCGGCTTTGGACTCAGTAGAGCTTCTTGAGTTAGAGGAGGGTGAGCAGGATGAAGAGAGCTGGTAGGTGCCATCAGACCTTTAGCAGTATTCTCTCTGAGAGTGGGGCTTAATTCAATAATTATTTCTCACTTAAGGGTGGGACAATGTTAATGGACACTTCATGTAAATAAGGTAAAAAAAGAGGAACTAATATACATTACAAGTCATATTTTCAGTTGATTACTTGCATCAAGAAAATGTTATGCGTGTTATGAAATATTATTGTCAAACATGCAAATTAGGCTTTATCTAATGTTTCTTTGGTCAAATAAGGAGGAATCTACAAATGTGCAGTACAATAGACCAAGTGTAATAAAAACAAACAGCATATGGTGCAAAAAATCCAAACAGCATGATTCTCCCTGTAATGTATTTCCTTAAACTTTAAATAAAACACAGACCCAGGTTTGATTTATTGTCCTTGTCCCCATGCAGTTGAAAAGATGTTAGGATGCTATTGGTTTTTGGTATTCGACAAGACAACTCATCTAAACAGGTCCACCTTGACATGGAGCTGTAGTGAGATATGTTCAGTGTCAGCTAATTGCATATTCCTCACAGGTTATATGAGTCTCCAAAGAAGCAGGAGTTAGAGGAGAGAAGTGAGTCTGCCCTCAGATGGTGTCGACACGTCTTGGATAACCCCAGTCCTGAGATGGAGGCGGCATGTCGCTCACTGATACATTGGCTGAATCAAAGTAAGCATCAGCACTTATTGTCTTCCTAATATTTTTGATTTTAAGATTTATTTTTGGTTGATTAATTTGGTCACATTTATCTTATGCCCTCTTTCTGTATTGTCAGGATCAGGCAGTTTTTACTACAGACATCCTACAGTTTTTCAGCACAATATGGGTTCCTCTATGTACAAAACATCTGTCAGTTCAGGTAACACAAAAGGGAGAGTTTAAGGATCCAACTCTATCTTAATGTAATATATTCTATTAGCCCTTATTTTATATGTATTATTCTAATCAGATCATAATGAGCTGAGCATCTCGCGCGACACGATATATTCAAACTGCAGACTGCAGGACATCACGGACGTCCACATCATGGCCCGTATACAGGAAGGCAGTGAGTGCAGAGCAGTGTTTTTGTGATTTAGTGTACACTGCATACTACATTTTGGTTGGATTGTGATAACCTTGGTTCATCATTTTCAGGTTTAAGACAAGCCTATGTTTCCACACCTACCAGGACGAGAAGTCCTGAGCCATCAGTAATGTTTCTGTCTTATTTTAACACCACTGTTGAACATAGTAATAACTTACCTGCAGCAAATAAAACTAAGATTTGTTCTTCCTCTTGTTGGCAGCCTGGTCTCTCGTCACTGAGCTCTTCCCCTCGCCGCTCACCAACAGTTACTAAGCAGGGCTGCCAAAGTCCGAAACTGGCCAGACTACACCAGCAAGTCATCCAGTTCAAGCTGCTGAAACAGAATCAAGGTACACATAGCATATGTATAGGTATAATACATTTGTGTTTATGTATTTGAGTGTGTGCACATATGACCCTTGTGTCTTCTGCAGCCACATCACCAGACAGGACGCGGACACCTCTGCGGACCAGCCTCCGCTCCCTTCAGGCTGTGAGGAACAGCAGAAGTTCGGACACAGAGGACTGTCAATTTCTTGACCATATCACTTCCACAGCATCAGGTTTGGATATTTTTTCTCACATAAAAATAAAAAAACACAAGAAAACCACATACCTTACACACAGTAGTGCAAATTGGTCCTAATGTTTTCTCAGGTGCATCATCTGTCAGCAATGTGTCGGGCTGCTGGTCTCCTTCACTTTCTTCAGCGGCCATGATCTCCAACAGCTCGCTGCACGCAGTGAGAGCCTCCGAGCGGGTGCTGAGGTCTCATTCTCTCAGCCCCAGCAGGATCCCTCACCCCGCTAAAGGACACCTCTCTGATCATGGACGCATTTTCGCCTCACCTGACAGGTCAACCAGCATGGCTTGGGGCAGAAATGTGCCGTCCACTCAATGGTGAATCCCTGATAGTAGGCTAACATTTTGATAGGGTAGAATAAAAACAGATGTTTATGTCATATCCAATATGTATTTACTTGAATGCCTGCCTTCATAATCATTTAAACAGTGCTGGGGAGTGACTAGTTCAAAGAAACAGTGTAACGTGATCAAAATACAAAATAACTTTAATTGCTACAGATACAGAGAAAAAATATGTAATTTACAAATTAGTGTACATATTTATTTTTTTACTTTTAAGCTTTCTTGCACAGTTTAAAAAAGTAATCAAAAGTAACCAAATGATAAAGGTAACATTACTTTGAAAAAGTCATTAAAATGTTACTTTCTACATTTTAACAAAGTATTCTCTCTCATCTATATTTAAAAACAAGCAGATATGAGGAGCAGTAGATTGTGGAAATAGTCTTTCATAAAGGCATGTTACATTTTGAGGTTTCCATCAATTCTCTGAGCAACACCTGACAGAAGCATCCTCGTGGTTGGGACTTCATACGACCAAACATCCTGTGTGCTGAAATGAAACAAGATTGTTTAAAATACAAACTGTGTGATGTGGAATATTGTAATAAGGAATTCAAATGTTATCAGTGTTTGTTACAGAAGTGGTTTTTCTATGCTGATTTGAATGTGAAATATCCGCATTGTAAAAGCCTTTTAAAAGTGAAGTTGGACCAGTCTAAATTTCACGTTGCTGTGGACAATTGCAGAATAAGCTTTTCTGCAGAATTGGCACAACACGAAGTGTGCAGTTTGCCATCAAGCACTGCACTGAGAACAACACAAAAGGTGACCTCATGCTCAATAGGAAGTGGTCTTGTTACCGAGAAATAGATGGAGGTGTGGTTTGTGTGCAATTTTATTTTGTGACTACATACTGTGGATAGTCTTTCCACCATAAACGATACCAGGGCCCTGGAGCCAGCTCATCTAAATGTTATGCAGCTATTACTTACATTAAAGTGACTTAGATCTGTGCTTTTCCTGTGATGACATTCATATATCAATAAAGTCAAACCAAAACCAGTGAAGTTGTAATCATTTTCTTTTGTTGGCATGCAGTGGGCCTTGTGGTTTGTAACCTCAACTGCACACACAGCATCCATCAAAGTTGACTTCAAATGTAATCAAACCAAGTTCATCTCTGGTGGTGGGTGTGGTCTTTAGATTAAACATGTCAATAGTTTTTTAAAACCAGATTTAAACCACTTTATTTCACAAAGCTTCATTCTTTTTTAGCACTTGGAGAGTTAAAACAGAATACTAAATACAAACGATGCTCATTCTATACATTTCCTGGACAAATTTAAACAGAGGAAGAAGTTAATGTTTAATGAACTCTAACGGCAGCTTAATGTCTTTTAGAAGTACCGGTACATGAATTTGTGTTTTTCAAAGAGCTGTCTAATAACCTACAGTGTGTTTATTCTATGTTTTAATAAGGAAGTGGGATAGAAAAGTCGCTTCTTAACAATTTGAGAGCGCGGTATATGATTGAGTTTAAACGGTACAAAACAAATGTACATAGATGTCAAGATACAACTTATAAAAGGCAAAGTGAAATGTACAATATGCTGTGTGTCTCTTAACTGTAGGTGCAGCAGAGCTTACAGTAGAGGAGCAAGCTACAAACGATAATTTACAAAAGTATGTACAACATTCTCTCCTTCGAAATCGTATTTTCTCCACATAAAACTGTGATTATAAACAATGTTTTCCGAATACTGCGGGTAGAAAGAAAAGAAAATGTCACTAGGTTTCAGAGTCCATGTCGCTGTCTCCTCCTATTGATCTGAACTCTTCGCTCTCCTCGTCTTCACTGAGCTGGACCTTGGAGAGCACAGCTGGGGCTCTCCTCCGTGCTTCATCTTCTTCATCTTCCTCCTCCTCTTCGCTGATGCCGTATTCTTCTCCGTTTCCCAGGCTGGAGGGCTGCAACTGACTCCGGATCTCTGGCTCCTCATAGCTGCCGTAACTGAGACAGAAGAGAGGGGAGTCAAACAAGAGGTGTTTTAAGTAATAATCTTAAGATCTTCATCAAATCAAACCCTGTTTTCAAAACTATTCATGCACAGTATGTCATTATTAAGCAATAGACATTCAATGTATTTGCCTCTAATATAATCACATCTCTGTATTAGTTTTATTGTTATAGTAGCTAAGAAAATAAATCAATTGCTTTTTGTCAATGAAGAAAAATTCCAAAAAGAGTGACTTAAACAAGTTGCTTGTATACATAATGGCGCATTTTCCGCAGAGCGCGGTTTAAGCGTGCCGTGCCTTAGCCGTTTTTGGTCACGTTTCCACTAGGGGTAGTTCTGGTTAGCGGCTACTTTTTCACATTTTTCTGGCTCTCCAAAATCGAGGTTCTTTCCGGGCCAACAACCGGGCTGAGTATGCTAAACTAGTGAGAGAATCGCTGGCAACTACAACAAGATGAACATATTTGACCGTGATTTAATTGTAATACACGTTTCAAAATGATGCCGAAGTAACAACATACTGATACCGGTTAGTAAAAACCATGAATTAATGCTGTGATAAGTCTGCAGACAAGACGGCAGGCGAAAAACCTTTTAAAATGCGGGGGGTGAGGAGCTCAACGTGAACTGTCAACAGGAGGGCGGGGGAGCCTCGCTGCGGGGAAGCAGTGTGTGGACCTGTCAGCGCAATTTACATGATGCCGAATTTAACAAACACATTAAAATAATTGGTTTAAACGGCGTAATAATAAGGACGATCGTCCGTTCTGTGATTCTCCAGAACACACAGATGGCCAGTCCGCCCCTGTGTAGCATGTTATTTCGATGAGAGATGAGCAGATCGCCACTGGACTTTCAACTAAATACACAGCCACGCAAAAACTGCGACATTTGTACAGCTCCTTATGGGTACTGCAATTAGTGAAGTGCTTTCCTCTGTGGTGAAACGATCAGCACTGCACCACGGAGGAAAGCTGCAGAAAGTCACCTGGAGATAAAGAGAGCGGGGCTGCGTTGCGTGCATGGCTTCCTTCTGCAGGTAACGGGGAGACGCGCTCTGGCGGGAGGTCTCGTTCTAGGATCAGAAAACTATCAATTTTAAATATTTGCACACACCTCTATTGCCAAGTGTGCCACTGGTTACCGTTGCAGGTTGCGCGACGCCCCTGCTTATGGTACTCCCAGTTCCTAAACTGTAATGGAAACGGAGCATTAAGCAGCCTGCCTACAAGGCCTAACTTATACCCTACTTAACTGCGGCNATGTCACAATGGTGTTTATCTTTTAGGGAGATTTAGACTTTACATTCAGACCACTCTCACTGTAGTATAAGATAAGACATGTTTTCCAGAACCATGTCACTTTTTGTTCATGTGGTGTTTGGAGCTTTTGCTGAATGTTTTTAGTGTACACACACACACACACACACACACACACACACACACACACACACACACACACACACACACACACACACACAATCAGATTAACACAAGAATGAGAGCTTCCCTTAGAGCCATGTGAAACATAAGATTATCTTTCTTTCTCACCCAAACCAGCGGCAAAGTGCTTCTTTGTTCTTTATGGCTCAAAGGAAATAAATGTAAATCAAATCAGATATTGGGCTACTTTAAGTGATGTTAAATTGAAGCCACCAAGACTGATTTAAATGAACATCAGGGTTAAATGGGCTGCAATTACTATTGGCTCAACTTATAAAAACATAAAACAAAAAAGTAAGTTAAACTGTGAAAAGCTCAGGTTGCATTGTGTATTTGATTAATTAGGGCATGTCCCAGTTAGCTAGCATCTAGCTACCTGGGTAGGAGGACTAGTTTAGCAACTTGGATTTGGAACAGTTTGTACATAACTTGTAGTTATTTCATATTCAAGTTGAGTTTTTAATCCATGTACATATGTGTATATGGTGTTTGTTTTAATGATGTAAAATAATGTAGGTATGGAAACCCATTTCCGCCACTTAAAAAAAAAGAAATCCCCATGAAAAGTCATAATTATGAGATAAAAAAATCGAAATTATGAGATAAAAAGTCATAATTATGAGATAAAAAGTGTGCATCTTGTCAATATTTCTTTACTGCTTTTAGCCACTTTTGTTGAACATTGTTTTCAGTTTAAGAACATGTTTACATTTCAATGCAGAGAACTTTCTGTGAATACCTCAGTTAAGGAAGTAGTTTGAGATTGATGGTTTATATTGCTAGACTTCACTAATAACCTGAGTCTAAATCAGTTATTTCAGACAACATACTGTTATGGTTATTACATGGTTTATATGTGGTAATGTCTAGGATCATTTGGGATATGAAAGACAAATGGAACAACCTTACTCTGTGTTTCATATGTTATATTTACAACTTGTGTTTATTGAAAATGAAAAGCATTTGACGTTCATCTTACCTCCAGAACACATGCACCAAATAACCAGCCCCACTGTTCTTTCTGAAGAAGCACCACTTGACATCCGGTTCACCCGTTACCATGTTGGAAAATAAGTGATTTATTACAAAAATAAGAGATGTCACATAATAGTCCAATGTGTTACAATTGACATAATCATTTTTTAAGCACTATTCTATTCAGGTTCTGTTCTTGTTATTTACCAAAAGACAGCTTGGCATTTAAACCACTCATAAACATATCGATGGATTACGATTAAAGGCTGCTGATGCTGTAGCAAGTTAGATTAAAATGCAGTCAAAATGAAAACAGCAATTTTGTATGCTAGTTGTTTAAATAATTGAATAAATAATTAAATTCATACATGTGTGTATTTTGCATTTGGTTCTTACACATAGTCAATCTAAGGGCAACACATTACTTTGTTTGTGTGTACTTACAAATATATGAACTGAGAATATTTGGTACATCTTTGACGTGTGCAATTATATTTTAATTCATCACATGTTAAAGTATATTATAATTCTGACAATTGCAATCATCTCATATTGACTTTTTATCTCATTATTTCGACTTTCCTATCTCATAATTATGACTTTCTTTTATCTGATAATGACTTTTTATCTTATTATTTCGACTTTCCTATCTCATAATTATGACTTTTATCTCATAATGACTTTTTATGAGGTTTAGTTTTTTTTAAGTGGCGGAAATGGGCTTCCATATAGGTATTCGTTAACACTTTTAAAACTCAAAACTTTCACTGAGTAGGCCTACACCCACATACACTCCAGTCTGTGCGTTGATCTCATGTACAGGACAGACAGAGCACCACATAATGACAAAGATTTCCAGATATATATTTTGTTTTTATTAAACAAAGTCCCTCCCATGGTCCTTCCCATGACTAACATATCTGAATACACCCTGGCCTCCTCTCACACAAAGCAGAGCAGGTTGGAGGAGGTGTCTCCCCCTCCTGCACTTGCGCTCTGCCTCCCTGCCCTTCACCTCCCGGCCTGCTGTTTCCTCCTCGTCACCGCGGATGTCTCCCTGCCGCTGCCGCTTCGGTTAACACCGAGCGACAGGACTTCTTCAACTACCTCTAAAACTACAGCAACGTGGCGTACTTCTCAGAGGACTCTAGCGTGTAAAATATGGATTAACAGGGTACAAATAAAATAGGGAAGCACCACCTGCAACGGGGGAGGGAAATGCAGGACGAAAGTGGCAAAGCGGCACTCGGCAACCCCGCAGTAGCAAGTGCAACCAAAGCGCAGGTATGTTTGTTATTCACACTCCAACCACATCACTTTGTTTGACTCCAAAGGAAACGTGGGTCACTCATTAGTTTACCCCAGGTCCCCTGGCGTTTACAGAGTTCGTGGCAGGACAGGTAACATTTGTTTAGATTAAGCAGTCTAACCTGTCTGTCCACATCGCTCTCACCTCAGGCTTGCCTTCAGCTTCACCCTTCACACTGCAGACAGTAGAGATAAAGCGTGTGTACTCAACAGATGTGTGTGCCCAGACATTTCCCAAGTTTTTACACGACCACACACACAGATGATGGTTGTGGTGGTTTAATGATGGTATATCCCGTTATTCAACTTAATTAAAGCACTTTGGCATTACAATTATTTCCCCAATCATTGTTTTTCTCTGAGGCGAACCTTTTTTTTTTTTTGTGATACAATATTCAGGAGTTTTTTGATGTACCTCTGATCCAGCTAACATTTACATTGGTGCTTTTTTTTTTAAGCCATTTGGGAAAGTCCTCAGCAAATAGATATTTCTTATTCTGATTTTGAGAGCTGGAATGATCACACATAGTCTTCAATCTAATTTAATAAGCAATTAGTCAATGGAGAAGACGGTAATCACCAGCAATTCAAATATAAAGGATTATTTGTTCAACATAACACCAAACCTCGCCAGACTCCATCTTCCAGTGATGCTGATATCTTGGCTAGGACATTTGCCTGGGGCTTTTAAATGCCACCTGTGCTTATTTTCTGTACATATTTCTGATTTGAATTGATTAAAGGTGGGGTAGGTAAGTTTGAGAAACCGGCTCGAGATACACTTTTTGTTATATTCCATGGAATGGATATATCTTTCGCTCTTTTTGCACAATCTTTGATACATTTATTTGAAACTTAATCAGCCCTCAGGTTACTCTAGGCACTGCAATTGTTTAAACAGATTCCTCTGTTATATCATCTTGTTAACACAACTACATATTGCAGTACAACTTGCCAGACAACTACTTGACACTTTGCCTCCATAAGTTACATATGAACACATACTCTTGTTGTGCAGGCCCTACTTGGGGAGACCATACATCTCAAAAGACATTACATTTCAAATGACTCAGAACTTAACTGTGGTTTTGTGTGGGTGTCATTTAAATAAAAGGTTAATTATTCATCTTTAAACACATAACTATGGCCTTAAATAAAAAGCAGAAGCCTGGCTGCTATATCATTCGGTCAGACTTCCTCCCTGCTACCTGACATGAGATGTTCACAGACAGAGATAGATAGTTCCTCTCTTGTTCAGAGTGGATTGTCTGATTGACGGAAGAGGAAGATAAAGTACAGTTTGTGGTTTTTAACATTTCAAGAGTTACAGACAGAATGGGGAAACTTTACACGCAACTTGTTTGACATTAGAAATTAAAGATCTACACACTAAGACAAACTCTGTAATATTGAACCAAATTTGAGTACATTTTGGTACCCAGTACTGGTTCAAGCTAGCATCATGTCTGTTACTTGGTATCTATGTGCATAAGAACCACAGGGTCAACAATCACACCCTTTTTATGGCTGAGTATTAGGGTTGTTTCCATTTTGTTTTTCAGCCAAACCTATGGTGGTTATTTCCGACTCAGTCAAAATGTCATATTAACATCGTAACCAGCAAATGTTTGGTTATGTGCTTAATAAAGAATTATAAGAAAGGTAATTGATTCATGTTTTTCTGCTTGACTTAATGAAAAATGTATTTTGCCACATATTTTGCATTATTATTTGTCCACATATGAACAACTTGACTACCTTGTCATGAAAGGAAAATGGAATTAGTTAATTTCAGAGTTATATTAATACCTGTATATGAATGTCCTTTCTGACTGTAATTGTTCTTTCTCTAGAATTCATTACACTTAAACGGGCATAATATCAATCAAAATGGCCACAACACGACAGCTACACCTGCACCGCAGCCACAGTTTGGCTCAGGAGCCCCGAGCCCTGCACCCTCTCCAGTTCTAGTTATCCCAAGGGAGCAGTGGGGAGGGAAGTACGAGTTCCTGCTCTCCTGTGTCGGATACTGTGTTGGGCTGGGGAACGTGTGGAGGTTCCCATACCTTTGTTATCGCAATGGAGGAGGTGAGCGGTCTACAAGCATGTTCAATGCCCTCTGAAGTCTCAAATGCTTTAAATGCCTGGGTGTACCGTACGTCTGTACTGATTTGTTACACCCATTTGGGCAAGAGGCCCTCTTCCCCCTGCCAATGGGTGTGCACCGTCCTCCTCACCACACTTGGTTATTTTTTCCACCCTCAGTCCAGTGGTCTCCATGGCAGCCTTTAGTACTAACACACCAAACATTGACTAATCCTACAAGTTTTCCTTGATTACACACTAGACACAAGGTCTGCCTGTCTAACCCACGCTAATACATCTCCATCTGAAATCCAACATGTTTAGACTTGACTAACAGTGAAGCGCGATGACGTTATGGTCTGTGAAGCTGCCACCTAGACAGAGATTATATAAATTAACCTGCCTTTACAGGCCGTCTACATGTAGCGATGTGGAAGTCTCCCCCCAGCACCATACTTTCTCAAACTGCTGTATTCCTATTCTTCACAGGTGTGTTTCTCATCCCCTACTTCATTATGCTCTTTGTTACGGGTGTGCCCTTGTTCCTCATGGAGCTGAGCTTAGGCCAGTACGGAGCAGCTGGCCCCATCACTGTGTGGAAATGCTGCCCTCTGCTCAAAGGTAACAACCTCCTGCACCATGCTTTTTATCCCAGGACACTTACATACACTGTAATTCAGTGACGCTAAGAGATAGTTAGGTCAGGGTGGGGACTTAGTACATAATTAGTTAAAAGTGTTAAATCACAGTTCTATATTAAATCCCCAGGACTCTTGTGCATCCAGTTTGAACCATGTGCAATGACTTGAGTAAGCAGGATCTCAAGTTGACATGCAAATGCTTGTCATCAGTCAGCCCCGACAAGGAAAATAGCCAGCTGACTCGCATCAGTTTGCCACCTCACTAGCATACGTCATGTGGCAAACCCTGAAAATTCCTGAGAGCTCTGTTGCTCACTTTCTAAATATAATCAATAATAAAGAAACCTTCGGACCTCACAAATATAGCCAGAAAAAACCGGATATAAGACATTCTTGTGTACGACTTGTTTTTCTATGTCTCTTTCTTGTAGGTATTGGTATTGGGATGCTCTGCGTGTCCTGTCTGGTGTGTCTCTACTATAACGTCATTATAGCTTGGACGTTTTACTACCTGGCTAGCTCGTTACAGAGCCCCCTGCCCTGGTCCTGTGATGCTATTGCCAATATAGGCCTCTGTGGAAACATTACCACCAACAGCTCTGCTGGTAGAGGCCTCAGCCCCACGGAAAGATTCTGGAAGTAAGTTGTTTTTTTATCATTTAAAAATAAAATGCTTTTCAAAATTCTACCGGCTGTTTTGAAAAAAATAACCTTAAATATTTCCTTAGCGTGGACTGCTTTAAAGTCTACTATACCTCTCCATGCATCTTCAGCCAGAAGGTTCCTTCACAATACAAACTCCCTTCTTCCAGGGAGTCAGAGTCAAAAGGGTAACATAACCAGTTTCAGATCAAAACAATTTCAAACACATACAATAAAGAAAGAAACCACGATATAAATAGTTAAGGAAGAGAGGTGTTCAGTAGCAATCCATAAAACATTACACTGAGCCATGGATTATGTACAGTGCATTTTGTAAAAGACTGAAGTATGTTTAGAGTAATCATATATTGCAGCTTATTCCACACCCATGCTGGTTACAATACTGTTTTAGAAAGCCCTGATTTCACCTTGTTGCTGTTATGAAACGATGAAAGTCTGGAGATAAATGTAAACAAAACCGTGGCAATAAATAGCTACACATGTATTTTTGTCCTCTGGAACCATCCTAAAAATGTAAATGTGATCCTATATTCTTTACAAAACGTAATGCAGCATGTTAAGCAGACTCCATAAGTGCTATTTATAGTCAATATTTGGCCGTTTTTTAAATGGACCTGGCAGTAATGCTGCACACAAAACTTGTTAACCATTTGTTTTTCTTGAACAAACAGAAATATTCTTCACAATGACTGGACTGTTCAAACTGGTTAAACTGTCACCTTTTGAGCTAATATGACTCAGGACCTTGCAACAAGCTTTTATGTGTTGCTGGAAATACAATTCATCTACATAATACATTTCAATATGCCAATATACATTCCTATGATGTTTTCAAACAACAGTTGTTAAACTTCATGACTGTAATACTTTATAACAGTTACTCCGCAGCTCTTTCAATACATCTTGTATGAAAGGCTGTGTCTCTGTCTCAGTAAATGTTAGACGTTATTGATATGCAGCAAACAAACCAAAGGGTTTAGAGACTGAGGCAAGATACAATATCTAGGTGAGTTTGTTGACCCCTGTAACGAGGACTACTCGTATAGCATAGCATTCAGAGGCATTTAGAATTCTCCGGGGAACTGAATTGAAAAGAAGAGAAAGAGGAAGAAATGACAACTCTAAGGCTTGCTTGCGTTGATGCGTAATAAGTGTAGCACCACTAGCTAAGGAAAGAGGCGAGTCATTTGATCTATTTATGTTTGACTCGTGTGTGTTGCAGCGAGCGTGTGCTGGGTGTAGTGAACAGTGAGGGCCTCCACGACCCGGGCCCTGTCCGCTGGCCCCTGGCCCTGTGCCTCCTGGCCGCCTGGATCATAATCTTCCTGTGTATGCTCAAGGGCATCCGAAGCTCTGGCAAGGTGAATTTACACATTGTTGTTATTGTCAGCTCCCACAAAACACACACAAACACACGCAGACCGTCCTGCCCTGTGCTGGCACATCTTGTTTAATGTTATTGTGTGCTGTCTGTGTTTTCAGGTGGTTTATGTAACAGCTACCTTCCCATACTTTGTGCTCATTGTTTTGATCATCAGAGGGGCTACACTGGAAGGCTCTCTTCAGGGCATTGCTTTCTACCTCACGCCAGACTGGAGCCGATTAGCTAACGCACAGGTACTTCTGATGTTAGACTGGAACTCATGTGGGTACGATGATTTAATTGCTGTGTTAAAGTGATCTAGATATTTTCATTTTTTTAAGGCGTATTTTGGTCTGATACATTACAGGTGTGGAATGACGCAGCCTCGCAGGTCTTCTACTCTTTGGGCATTGGAGTTGGAGGACTGCTTTCTATGGCATCTTACAATAAGTTTGACAACAATGTAATCAGGTGAGTGTGTGCTCTTCTGCTCCAACTGCTACATTGTTGCAGTCATTAAAGGTTCGGTCTCTAACTCGCAGTTTTTATTTTTCAGGGACACTTTGATTATCACCGGAGGAAACTGCTGCACCAGCTTCTTTGCAGGGTTTGCTATATTCTCAATCCTGGGTCACATGGCGTGGAAGAAGGGAGTGCCTGTCGGAGAGGTGGCTGATACAGGTAGATACTGTTTAGTAATCCTTTGGTCCTTCTTTAATCTGGAAATCCATACAGATTAAATAACACGTGTTTATCAAAAGATGAATCTTAAAGGTACATTTCACCTTACACCCACAGGTCCTGGGTTGGCCTTTGTTGCTTACCCAGAGGCCCTTGCTCTGCTGCCGGGCTCGGTTTTCTGGTCCATTATGTTCTTCCTCATGCTCTTCATGATGGGGGTCGATACGCTGGTAAGGCCACACACCCCAAACGATTTGAGCAGGAATAAAGACCCCCTCTGTATGTTTGACACCTGCTGTGATGCTCCACAGTTTGGCAACATGGAGGGCATCACCACGGCCGTGCTGGATGAGTTCCCGCACCTCCGAACAAACACGCTGCACAAGTCCTTGTTCTTAGGCACTCTGTGTTTCTGCTTTTACCTGATGGGTCTCCTGTTGGTGACAGATGTGAGTGTGTTTAACTTTAGGAAGTGATGAATGTGGGTTCAAATGCCTCTGCTCTGTGATCAGACTCACATTTCCCATGCTGTCTGTGTCTTCATAGGGAGGAATTTACTGGTTCACTCTCATTGACTCCTTCAGCACTAGTTTTGGCCTCATCATCATCACCCTCTTCATGTGCATGGGCATCTCCTTCTTCTACGGTAGCCCATCAAACACCCCTAACCTTCGTGTCAAACTCCTATCATTCATAAGAATTCAGGACACGTGATTCTTAGCAAGTTGTAAAGAAGGAGATCCTTGACTTTCTGTATTGTGAATGTTCATAGTAGGGCTGCGTGATGTTTATTGTTTGAGCATGGACATTTCGATGTGTGCTTCCTAAGGTTTTCAGCATTTTGTGAACACATCAGTTAAGCTCTGTTGTTTTGATGATATATTGGTTGTTCCAGTGTTCCTAACATGCATGTCTTTATGAACTTCTCTTTTAGGAGTGAACCAGTTTTGTCAGGACATTATTGATATGATCCGCCATTGTCCCCCCTGGTGCACTAAAGTGCTGTATTACTTCAAAGCGTGCTGGGTTTTCTGCACTCCATTTCTACTGCTGGTGAGTAAACACACCAGAGGCCTGTACTACGAATCCAGTTCAACATACCCTGGATATGTTTGAGTTACCCGGCTTACCTAATCCAAAACAAACGCGCTCTCGCTAAACGGTCCTACGACGCTGGTTATCAACTCGGTAACTCAAGAAGCTGACTCAGATAAGGAAATATATGATACATTATGATGTGAACAGTGATATGATGCGATATGAATGATAATGGGACACATCGACGTCTGCACTCAGAGTCTGACTGTACGTAATGTTACTTTGATCCTTTGTTACTTTTGAGCATATATTTAAGTAAGCTTTCTTAACGCTAATGTTATATTAGTCAGATTGTTCTGAAGATGGGAGCTGATATTCTATTAATATTCACGTTCACAGTCAGTTGATTTTTGCCGGCCGTCTTTCCTGCAACGGCAGTTTTTTGTATTTCCTTTCTCCAGTAATATGACTTGATAGCTTTAAACTCCGCACACTGAGCTCTGATTGGTCAGCAGGCAGTGCTTTCACTGAGTTGATCTCTTATCCTGGAACCTAACCTGCTCCGGACCAGGCTAGCCGTTCAGCATAAGTTACCATGTAGATCTAGCCCGGTAAGAAGTGAACCAGCGTCGTAGGGCCGGAAACCTAGAGATTTCCCTGAAGTTAGCTCGCTAAGCGAAAATCCGGCTTCGTAGTACAGGCCTTTGTACTGTTGTTGTTGTTGTGTTGTTAGTTGACAACATGCAAAACCATGTCACAGTAGAGGCACACAATACAAATATGAACTTTAAAATGAGGATACTAGGGACCTTTTAAACTTACATAAATGCAGCTGGTTTATTGTGTTATCATTAACATAAAGTAAGTGTTATCCTCTCTGTATAATCCAAATGCATTAAATGTAATAGGTTTTTGTATAATTATTTCTACTTAAACGTGGCCATATCAAGGCAATGACCTTCACTGCCAGCTGAAAGGTTATTAAATGTTATTTGATCCTTTACAGTATTGTCGGTTTGCATACGTAGCAAAATCCATGTTACATCAGTCCCTGTTATTTCTGCTGCTCTTGTCACCTAAAGCAAAATAAGCATTTACAGTGAGGCTACTTGATATAGAAATGTTGCACTTACAGTCAAAGGGTAATTTGATGATGGGTGACAGAATGTACTGTCCCAGTGAGTTAAAATCATCCCAATAAATGACTAAAGAGTTATTTGTAAACTGAGGGAGAACCAAGTATTATAAGTCTATTAACAAACTGCTCCAACTAAGAAAATAAAGTACACCACTACTTTGAAATGTAGCCCACTGTTCTGAAAAATAGCAGTTGTGAATAATTCAAGAGGAGAAACTGACATTCAATCTGATCCCCCCCCTGTAGCATTTCTCTGCTGTCCTTCTCATTCACTCTTTCTTCTGTTGTCATTTCCCTTTGTGGCTGTAGCTCATCCTGATTTACATCTTCATGGAAATGTACAACACATCACTCCACTACGGGCCCTATGTGTATCCACGGTGGGGTAAAGCGCTGGGTGTTTGCATCGGAGCGACCTGCTGTATGCAGATCCCCATCTGGGCAATTGTGGCCCTGTGCAAAGAAACAGGAACACTGAAAGATGTCAGTATCAGCACCATGCCACTATTTCATGATTAAACTGACGAAGAGTATCTTTTTAAATATGTGCTTTGCTTCCCTTTTTGCAGCGTTTCCAGAAATCGATCCGACCCCTGAATTCCTGGAGGGTAAACTTGAACAGCTCCACGAGAGTAGAGCAGCACATGGAGCCGGAGAGGGTGGAGGCTCCGTTCACCGTCACGCTCACAGACATGGACTTTACTGCGATGACGTGGGATGCGGGAAGTGAGGCGTGAGAGCACTGATCAATGCAGAGTGATAAGCAAACTAGGTTGTCAATTTTTTGTATCTATGTTATTCGCCCCAGCTAGGCTGTGTCTGACCGCCTGTGTGTCCTGCAGGGCAGTGTGGACTGTTGCTTTATTTATATCACTATGTACTGTATGTTTGAATTTCATTTTCAAACTCTTTTGTTAAACATTGTGTAAAATGTAAGTTTGCAGCTATAGAGTTGGGATCGGCTTCACCTTAGATGGCATAATGAGACATTTGGATGATGGTAATGTAGCATAATATCAGATTTATTTATAATCATAGTAGCAAAGTGCAAAGAATAATCACTGACAACACTCGACAGCAGCTGAGGGAACAGATTGAGTCACGTACGAATAGAAGGGACAAAAAAGTGCAGTGACTCTTGAAGCTTAACTTCAGCAAGCTGGAAAAGTGACCACAAATCATCGGCCTGCCAGAATACAAATTGCACTGAGTCAGGAATACTTTTAACACATTTTACTTTTTAAATGAATGATTGCTAGAATCAGGGCTACAATAAATAAATAAATTTGTAAATAGAACTTGCCAAATCAACTATTAAGTTATTAAGTAATGTCAATGTGTGATCATCTGCAGTTCTGACAGTTCCTGCAGAAAATGTAGCAATCAGTTAACTTTTTTTCACTTGCTCTGTATATATTGATATTATCAAGTTTACAAATATTCTATAGTAGTATTGTATGCAGGCTTTAAGTCGAACCAACTTTACTACTTCAAGAAGAAAATAGATTGCAGTTAGTAGGCATTTAGTTTTTAGTGTTTACTGGAACTTAACTTTGACAGTTCTTAATGGTAGATTGCATCTAATTGCATAAATGTATTAGCTACAGACATTAATGTAATACTCCCTCTAGCACACGATTATTGTCACTAAATCACTATAATTGACAACTTTCTGAGGGCACAAATGTTATTGGATTTCAGGGCCTTTTTTAGAGAAGAATTCAAAAACAGTTTGAATTTTATTTATTGGCTAAGTGGCCAGGCTGCTTAATTTATTATTTACATTTGATGTTGGACAATTATTTAACAAATACTGTTTTTAAGACCCTAAGGCTAATGATATCAAACTCTGGACATATAGACAATCATATGATAAGGAATCAGGGGAGACAGCTCACTAAGAGGACCCCCCCATCCATTTCAGGCTGTACATTCCTAAACTGTTTTCATGGCCCTCGGTTCCTGTTGCAATTCCAGCATACTAGGCTAAGTCGTGTATATATTTTTTTTAAAGGAAAAGCATCTTTCAAGCAAACTTTGAAATGTTTGAACATTTTATTATCCTTTATTTTAGGATTGTAACTCAACTTTAATTTTAACATATTTTTGCCTTTCTACACCGTGTTGCCATTCTGTTGCATATTGCTGTGCACTGCACAGTGAATAAATATTGTTATTGCCTTAATATCTTTCATTCCTTTTTTGTGACTTATTGGATACCACTTTCTTTGAAAGATGGCTGATGAAACTATTTAAGACTGTGAGTTAAGATCAGTTTTATCTGAGTTTTCAGAGTTCCCTCCATAATATTACTTTTGTAACGATAAATGCCTGCTAATGATTGTGTTATACGGTTATATGGTATAATTTAGGCAAGAGAGGCTGTTTTCTAAATGTCTTAATAGCAAAATCCCATTTAAACAACTCAGTTATTGAACAATGTGTGAATATTACCACAAGAGGGCAATAATTGCACAAAGTGAGCAAGGTTTAAACATGTAATCCAAGTTCTCCTGATGAAACCTCACTTTAGCAGTATAACAGGAGGAAAAGACAGAATGTATTTTACTATAGCCCATGTGATAATTTAGTGGGAATGCTGATACAGCATTCCAACTACTTGTTCTTCTAAGCACGGAATTCTTTATTATTATTATTCCGCCGGGATTTTGCACCTCTTCTTCTCCCACATTCCACATCGCAGAAACTCTGTTAAAACATCAAAACGTTCAGCTCGGTCGGGAATCGATGGCTATTACTTTTCTCATTCATAACTTTCATAATTCCAGAGATACATCCCATAATTCATCAAATTTTTAACATGGAAGTCAATGGAGAAATTCTTCAGACTTCAAATCTTCATGCGATTTCAACTGCTAACTGCTCCTTCATACTTTCAGAAACCTCATTCCAACTTTAAAATGTTACACATATTTCTGACAATATTTGTGTAACACTTTTAGAGATATTAAACATTGTTCAAACCTTGGTAAAGAGGCCTTCTTCAGATGTTAGAGTGCATGATGTCACAGCTAGAGTGGAGGACAGATTTAATTTTGCCTTCATATTTTCTTTTAAACCTGCCATAATTCCCAAACCCTACATTCATGAGACATCATTTTTCATGAGAAACGTAGGAAAACATCTCGTAGCTTGAAAAAAAAAAAAATTAAGATAAATAATTAAACAAAATGCCTCTTGAGGGCATGAAGTGACAAAAACTTTCAACAAGTCTCCATTAAACCCCATTGTAAGTTCAGCCTCATCTTTCCCCACCACAGCAACCTAAAGGCCTAAATTAACTAAAGGTGTGCACCTTTAGTTAATCTGCCAAAAAGGCCACATTATTAACCCGAAAGTACACAAAAAGTACACTTCAGATGCTCAAGTTCCTTGACATGCATCACGCTTTGAAATATCACCGATATCTGTTACGGTTCTTCAACAAAACGTTCACATGTAAGAGGTTTATCTCTCATTCAGAACAATGAAAATGCTCTCCTCTCACTTATTACTGCACATCACCATGGAAACCTGTGTCATGGAACACGATGTCATAACTCCAACTGACATGACATGTTCAGAGCAGCAGACTTCAGATGATGGTTAATGGTCCTGCCCTCAACAGCTCTACGTCAATTATGGGATGTCATCATATGCCGTTTCCATGGAAACGCATCCCTCGCCATAACAGACGATGTCGCTCTACATTAACTCCTATGAAAATGTTCAAAAAGTGCTCAAACTTCACATGTGTGCTAACAGTCCAGCCGTGAAGACATCTACGGGTCAGTTTTGATATTTCTTCAAATGCCGTTGCCATGGCAACACAATGCTCACCATGAAACACTGTTTTCTCATAACTTAAGTGAAAACGATGCAGCCATCAACGCATCTAAGCGCATTATGGGATGTCATCAAATGCCGTTGGCATGGCGACAGATCATTCGCCATCAAGTTAGTTAAAAAGTTTGCACTTCAAATATTCTGCTGCTTTTACAAGCCTTTTTACTTTCTTTTCTTCTCTCATCACACATTCAAGCCCCCAGTGTTCATGTATCATTTCAATCTAAATTCTTCACTTTCTTCTTACACATTACATTTCAGCATAGCAGTTTAGCATCAGCTTTTCAGCATAAAGCATTCCCACTGGCGATTTCTTCAGGAATTGCATTCTCTAGTTCTAATATGCTCCTCTGGGGAATGACTAAAAGTGAAGACACTTCGTAATAACCATAGACTGGTAATAACCTAATAAGTAAGGGGAAAACAAACGACAAACAAATTGAAATGGGCAATGTAAAGAAACGAATATTAACGATCTACGTCATTGTACTGAGAATATAATAACAATCTACTGCCTGAAATGTTGAGTCGCCTATGTTTTATCTACAGTACGGGGCAGCGGACAACCCTTTGTAACTCCTCTGTATGGCGGGATAAATGCTAATGAGCGGATGTTGCGTATATACTTTCCCGCGTTTTCCTCTTGTGAGTTTGGGTGAGTTCGTTTAAAGTTATCACGTGATCCCACTGAGCGCACGCTTCGTACACATTCAAATTTTAAACAACTTAAGAGAAATACAAATCTATTTAAAATTCACAAACGATCATAAATGGTTAGATAACCGGTTAGCATAACCGGGATTGTGAACATTGACTGTGGAGGGCTCCTAAACCTTAAGACCCCGCCCGCCATGGCACACCACCGCGCACTCCGGTGAAACAAAACGAACACCCTCTTCACCCCGGTTTCAGGAAGCCAGTCAGCCTGTGGGTTTTGTTGTATTGTTGCCACGGAACTTGTGCAGTGGGCTTTAAACATAGTGAAGCTCATTTGTTGCCTTTAATAAATTATTATTTAAAAAAAGATATATTATATTAGTCTGTTCGTAAAACGGACACAAAGATGCCACCTAAAAAACGCAACACGGGGACGACACAGAGCAAGGAGCTGAAGAGTGCTGAAAGTGTCTCTCCTGACAAGAAGGACAGCCCAGAGTTATCTGTTAAAAAGTAAGAGAAGTTGTTTTTGAGTTATTCAACAGACCGCGAATTAATTGTTCATTAAGTTACATTTGTTTACAATGTATCTTAATGTTAAGCTGTTTGTGTTTGACTCTTGCTAGCTAGCTTAACTGTTATTAACCGTCAGCTCACTAGCTAGCTCCTTCAAACAAAGTCATGCATGTATTCACAGCTTTAACTTCTTTGTTTTGATACACAAAGACTCTACAGTCACACTTGAGAAATTAGATATAACACTGTTACTACAAACACACACACATCTGAGTCTGGGACAGAGTTGGACTAGCAGTCAGGGATGTTGTTGTCATATCAGCAGTGGTGTAAAGTCACTAAGTTCATTCGCTCAAATATACTACTTAAGTACAATTTAGATATGCTATTATTTTACTTGAGTATTTTAATTGTGTGCTACTTTGTACTTCTACTGCACTACAATTCAGAGGTTAAAAGTGTACTTTTACTCCACTACATTTATGTTGTACCTTTAACTACTTTGCAGATTGGGTTTAAAAATGTTTAATATATAATCAGCACTTAAATTAGACATTATTTACAACTGGAGCAAATCCACATGCTACCCTGCAGTATACAAAGCAATTAAAATTAGCTCCATGTTTACCAGCTGTGATAAACACATTAATGCATCAATAACTATAATCGAAACATATAATATATTTATAATACAATGGGCCAATCTGCATAATGAGTACTTTTTACTTTACTTTCATTGTACTTTCACTCGAGTAACATTTGCAATGCAAGATTTTTTACAATAACAGAGTATTCCTAGAATGTGGTATTTCTACTTTCACTAGAGTACAAGATAGGAATACGTCTTCCACTTCTGCATATGGGCAGCATGTTGTGGTGTACTGAAACTGTGATTTTGTTTTCTTCTTCTTCCAGACACAGAGACAAGGACGCTGAATTTGTTACTCTTTGTAAGAGCCTTCATGTCACAGACCTGCTATGTGACCGTGCCTGGAAGCTGTGGAAATCTGTTGAAGACTCCATGGCGGAAATCGCTGTATGTATTTATATGTATATGACAGATTTGTAAAGATATAATCCTGTTTGTTGTCCTTTTGAGGCGATGTAATGGGCGGTAATAGGTGGATATGTATTACTTTGGATGAAAAATACACATTAGGAGAACAATCAAATATCCTGCGTACTATGCTGTTTGGTCAGATTGAAATGGCCACTATAGCATTCAGACTGCAGCAGTGACAAAGGAACATGCCATCACAACCAAACCCCTCTTGATGTCAGTGATTCAAAAGCTTTCTCAAATGATCCTTACAATTAAAAATATGTTTAAACCAAAGTTTATGATTATCCAAAGTAACTGTGGTACTACTCAAAAACTGTACTGTATTGTATTGCCTTTCAAACAGTATCTGAATACAGTATCAGACATGAAGGTACTATCGCAGTCCAAGTTCTGTTTCAGTTTGATTTCTAACCAGTACATTTAAACAGTCCGTAACAAAGATGTTTTTGCTTAATAGAATTATAACATATAAGGTGAGGTTGCTTTGTTCTAACAGATGAAATATCCCACTGATAATAGGACGGGATGATATGAATAGGATGGCATGGTGTCTGTGATACAAATAATATTGCTTTTCATTATACATAAGTTCATGTTCTTTTTTCACATAACTTCAGGACACTCAGAAAAGGGTGTGGGGAGCTTGTCTGTTTGTGTCGGGGATCGACGTGGATGTCTCCTGTTTCACCTTAACTCAGGTTCTGAAAGCAGTCAGTCTGAAGTAAGTACTCAACATGCATGTTGTTGACAAATACTCACACACATTAATGCATGTTATATCAGTCATTTCCATGGACAATCTGTAAATGGATAACGCATGGTTGCTTTTTGCACAATGGTCCAAATGCAAGCTGTGATGAAGTTGAGGTGCGATGCTGAATATTTTTGTATTTGTTCTCATTGATTTGCAGTAAATCTGAACCCTTTGTTTGATATTTAGACTTTCCTTCCTAATTTTATGTTCAGTTTTATACAATGAAAGCTTCTCACTCTCTTTTGTAGTGTAAAGCAGTTTGTGGATCTGGTGAGGAAGTTGGATGTGAACATGGATACTATAAGCACCAAAGTGAACTCAGCACTAACGCGAGTGGAGAAAAAGTACGATGTGACGCTGGCTCTCTACCAGCGGTTCGAGAAGTGAGTAAACTTAAAGTACAACTGCCTGATCCAACTGTTGAGAGCAGAGTTGTTATCGATAACATCCTTTTCCCCCTGTTTTTCAGAACATGCAAGAACATCTTTGCTTTGGTTTCTGATGACCAGTAAGTTTGACACTGCTTTCCCACATGAGTAAAGTGTACTTATAACACTTCATGTTTAGTCTGTTCTTGTGTTGTTGTTGTTGTTGTTGTTGTTGTTGTTTTTCTTAAAGATTGTATCTATTATTAACTAATAATTTTGTAAAATGTCAGAAAATAGTGAAGATCATCATGTTTAATATGTCCTAATAAGACATTCAGTTAAATATAATATAAAACAGGGAAAAACAGTAAATCTCCATATTTGAGGATCTATAATCTGCATTTTTGTTTTGCATGAAAAATCACTTTAAAGATAAATGAATAGTAGATTAATTGTTGCAGCGTTAATACGATGTAACTCAGGTTTATGATTAATGGTTAAGTGTCTCTTTTCAAAGGGAGAGGGAGACCACGCGGAGTTGCTGGACCATGTTTCTTTTGGCCAAAGGTAGGTTAACACATTAACAACAACAAACACAAGTAGCATCAAGCTGTTACTACACTTAATACTTTTCAAAGTGTTCCATCTTCTCCTTTCCATCCTTCCTTCCTGTCTGTGCTCAGCCGTAGAGCTCAAGTGAAAATGTTTCTCCTCACTGTCTGTTTTCATTGGTAGTGGTAGTGTTGTGAAGCAGCTTCTCATGTGCTGCATCTCTGCTGTTTCCAGGAAGAGCTTTGCAGATGGAGGATGACCTGGTCATATCGTTCCAGCTGCTGCTTTGTACACTGGAGTTATTCATCAAGCGCTGCCCTTCAGACCTTCTGCAGCCTCTTTACAGTGAGCTTCATTCCCATCTTAAGCCTCTGTCTTTTGTCATAATCCGTTCTGACTCCTCATCGTACAAACAGGTCTTAAAGTCGGAAAAGAAAAACGTCAAATAATTATCCCTCCTCTCAGTACCAAGGATGGACATGTGATATCAATTCAGTGTTTGCTTATAAGCATATGCAAATCATACTATAGTTGAACAATGAAGTAGTTTATCTGTTTAGAATATTATCTCTGTTATTCAAGGTTTTGGGCCATAGAAAATGGAAAACATAAACTGTACTTTGGACATTCTGTGATATGAAAGGACTTTTTACAGCACCTAGGGATTTTCTAAGCCCTTCAATGTTTTTCTCTCAGAATCAGCTCTCAGTAAAGTTCAGAGCCCTCCGACACGAACATCTCGCCGTAACCAGAGCAAAGTCAAAACCCGACCTCCGGAGCCAGAGGTGGATTTGCAGCTCCTCAAAACCTTGTGCGAAGAGAATGAATGCAACGCAGAAGAGGTCAGAGCCCCCCTCTTTGTATTGTCCTTACAGTCATCATGCACATGTCTTTCTTTGCCCTTCGATCTGGGTGTATTTATTCTCATTTGCCCCTTTTTATTCTAATTCTATCCCCAGGTGAAGAATGTATACCAGACCAGTTTCTCAGCTTTCCTGGACTCTCTGGATCTTTCCAGATCTTCAGATTTTCCTCAGGTAGGGGCAATTGCTTTTCATGTACTGTTTCTATTTGTTATCTCTTATCCCTCTCGCTGTGTTGAACGTGTAAGTGCTCATACATGTTTGGTTTCTCATACATAGTGTCAGGAAAATGTGTACTCAAACGGGGGATCCTTTCATATTGTCTCAGTGTCATATAATGCTGCTGTAAAACAAAGGAGACAGGATGCTACTGTTTACTCACACCAACACACTCCTCCTATCATGGTTACTAGACATATTTATTCTACTGGTACATTACCCCAATAACTAACAGGTGGCGCGCAATATTTAGAGTCCTATGTAAATAATCATATCCTGTTATCAATCAGGGGCCGTATTCACAAAGCATTTTATCTTACCGCTAGGAGTGCTCCTAACTCGCGCTAAAACATTTTACGTAGGAGTTTTTTCTTAAAAGTTATTCACAAAGCCGCTGAGACCTACTCATACTAAGGATAAATCACTAAGAGTGAACTAAGAGTGACGCGCCGTTGCTATGGATTACTTCGATTCTCGTGCATGAGTTTAGAAGCGGTCAGTACGGTGATTGGTTGTTCAGAGCAGGCGGTCTCGCTGAAACTCATCCGCAACATCCCACAAACGAGCGAACTAAATCACCGAAAAACAAGGAAATAGCCTAGGCTATAAATGTATTCCTATCAAATAGTTATGGACAGTGCAGTTAGCAGAATACACACATGATGACAAGTTTGTGCAGACCACGATAATGACGTTGTATATGCACGTTAAAGAGAGAGAGCAAACAATAAAAATACGTAAATTGCATTAAATCAAGGAGGCAATTAAAAGCACCCTGCAAACTATTATCCAATGAGCATATTTCCAGCACTTAAACACTTTCAATAACAGCCCATACCGCCGTTCAAGTCCCCCTATCATGATGAATGAAAACAATCTGCGTGTTGATGGAATACTACTTTCTTTCTATTGACGAACACGTCCTCATCTTTTGAGGGCGCAATTATTTTTATGTGCGTCCCGTCAATAGCACCGACCACACCGGGCATACCTGCAATTGCCATGAAGTTGGCTTTGATCCTGTGTAGTTGTTGATTGTCCAAAGGAAACCGGATAAACTGTTGGATGATATGTGGTCCAGAGAGCGCGTGGATGGTTTGGTTTATGGCACGGCTGACTGATGGTTGCGATATTCCTAAATCGTCGGCATTGCAAAGTTGCATTTTCCCTGTTGCTAAATATCGTAGTGTTGCCAAACATTTTATTTCCGGACTAATCGGGTTATTCCTGTTAGTCGGGGATGTTATTGCATCCCGCACTAATTCCACAACAATTTTGATACCCTCACGATTTAGCCTATATCTCTTGATCAATTCACAGTCTTCCATTGTCTCCAAAACATTTCGTCTCGCAGCCATTTTCAGATTCTTTGTGAATAGGTCTTACTGAGTTAGGAGTCCTCTCGAGGACTTTTAAGCTCTCCCAGACTTAGGTGCTACTTTTAGGCCTAAAATACTTTGTGAATTGCTCTTAGTGAATACAATTAGGAGTCCTAAATTTAAGACTGACACGCCCATTATGTTTCGGAGTTTCTCCTAAATTCGCCAGTTAGGAGCTACTTTTAGCCCTAAGATCCTTTGTGAATACGGCCCCAGATCTCTGTAAACACCAAACAGATCATTGCAGCATCCCATAATCCCCTCTGTTTCAGCCCTGTTCCAAAAGTGCTGATTCTGGGTCTGTAGCTTTAAATGCTAATGAGCTGCTCTGACACGCCCCCTGAGAAGATGATTGGTTTAGAAACACACAAAGGTGCTCTAGGAGGAGATTCAGGCTGATAAGGGTGTGTATGGGGGGGCGGGGGGGGGGGTTACCTTTGTTGGCTTATTGGCTAATGGTTAACACAACCAGAAAACATGTGAATCACAAAGTGGCCAAAATCCCTGATCAAGCTGCATTTCAGACAGGTTTTTATAAAACTGGATCAGGACAAACTTACAGCACTGTCTTTTACACTGTTTAGCACACAAAGTGTTTCAAATCTGGTGGCAATTGTGAAAAAAGTGTTTTATTAGCATTTCCAAACCCATTAGTTAGAGCCCAGTCAGAACATTGAGGGGTCTGATATCAGAACAGATATAAATAAAAGAGCAACTAACAATAACATATTTCCTTTATCTGGAATAGTCAAAAGACAACTCAAGCAACGGCTCCGTGGAATTAAGGGACATACTGCCATGTTGCACGGAGTAAGCTGCGGTCGGTTCCTGTAAATCACATATGTATAGTCACTGTTTTTCAGAACATGTAACCAATACGATTGAATGACACACCACAAAGTAGTCTAATGTTATGTAGCCCATACGTTTCTGGTAATTTCAAATGAAGAGTGCACGTCATAATGCACGTTAGTCACTGCTAATCAACTGTAACCTTTGAAATAAACACTCTTCACAGAACTCGGATCATGCCTAGTCAACTAATACACGCATTTCATTTCTATCGACAATCAGCGGCCGGCCCTCGGCCATAGGCGTATAGGCGAACTGCTAAGGCACATCAACCATAGGGGGGCGCGAAAATTTAAAATTCAAAATAAAAAAAAAGTTTAGAAATAAAATAATAATAATAATATAATTTTATAACAACACAATTTCCCGATTTTTGGATCAACAAAGTAGCATCTTATTATCTTTATACGTAACAGAACTAAGCCTATATTGCGCTACAGCGCCCATAGACCTATGGTTTTAATTTTATATTTGTGTTAATTTAAAATAAGTCAAACTCCAAAAACGTATACAGCTTCTGTGTGCTTTTAATTAACAATTGGAATTTACTGTGTCAGCGGGCCGCGTTTAATTAACAACAACGAATACAGTTTAAAAGGGGAGTGATTTGTAACATCCATAAAGAAAAACGAAAATTGTTTAAGTTCTGCTTCAATATGGGTGTTGAGAGANTTTAAGCTCTCCCAGACTTAGGTGCTACTTTTAGGCCTAAAATACTTTGTGAATTGCTCTTAGTGAATACAATTAGGAGTCCTAAATTTAAGACTGACACGCCCATTATGTTTCGGAGTTTCTCCTAAATTCGCCAGTTAGGAGCTACTTTTAGCCCTAAGATCCTTTGTGAATACGGCCCCAGATGTGTATGAGGTTCATTCTGTAGTCAAGTTTCTTTTTTTAGATGTTTACTTTTTGAGATTCACATCTTATCAGATACAGACACAGAGTTGCAATCTCCAGACAAGTTTTGTACGAGGTCAACGAGGACTCCAGACGTTTTGATTACATCCAAATTATTGTCGTGATTTTGCATGGGTGTAATGATGCCGCTGTGCCCGTCTTCGGGCTGTTTACAACAGAACTACTGTGTGCAGGGGTTTCTTGTGACAGTTTCTGTCTCATTAGCTGATCTATATGATTGCCGATCCATCTTTCATTTTTCAAATGTTCCATTTGTAACATTAATTTAGGTAATGAAATGTAATGCTTTTGGGGAACTCAAGATAACAATAAAAAATAAAGAGTAGTTAGGAATTCTACCACAGTGAATTGTCTTACACAGCAGGTCGTGGTTTTCTCACTGTCAAAAATATAACTTTGAATGGAGTTCTCTTCAGTTCATTGTGTTCTGCAGAACCGTTCAAAAGAATGGCAGAAGGCAGAGTAATGTAAACCTTTTCTTTTTTCTTTTTCAACAGGCAAATGACATCAACCAACAATATGAAGAGCACTACCTCAAGAGCAGAGACATTGATGGGCGGCTGTTTTTTGACAGAGATGAGACTGTTGTGCCACCTAAAGTCGAGATGTAATGTCCATTATCATTCAGAGTCTGGTTCATCACTTTAAATCGTTTAAAGAAACGTGTTTGATAATTGGCTCCTGTTTTCAGATCACAGGTGGAAAGAACGCCAAAGAAGAACCTCCCAGATGAAGATGGCCTACTCATCCCTCCCCAAACTCCAATCAGGTGAGCTCACATTTTCCTCTTTTAAATAATCATTTACTGTCATCACAGTGGAGTAGCGGAGCCCCGCCCTTCAGGAACAGAGCGGAGGGAGAATGTGAATACACAAAGCAGTGGACACTGAAGCATGCACATACATTGGACAAATAACATAGGCGTTTAGTTTATTTAATAAAAGAGCACATGTTCAATGTGAAAAGTGACCGTAGATAGATTACTTCAGTTGCAATTTGGTGCCCGCCAAGACAATGGTAGGGGAAACACTTTGATAAATATAGATACACTTTTTGTTATATTCCATGGAATGCTCTTAACATCCCGATAGCAATGAATATCTTAAGTGTTTGACAAAAAAAACATACAAAAGTGTCATCTGTGGAAGCCGTGGTACTGTAAAAAGCATGACCAATCATTTTAGTCAGCCTGTCAGCCTTCCATCTGTGCACAAACTTATCTCGTGCCCTCATTGGTGATGTGCACGTTCGTGTGTGTTGGAGGAGGGGCTCTGTAAGGAAGTGGCAGATTTTTTCCGGCTGTGTATTTTCAAATTCTAGCGCACTCAAGCTGGTTTCTCCAAAATTACCTACCCCACCTTTAATGTGTACTGTATATGTTCCTACATATTGAAGTCGGGCATTTGAGATTGTTCTGGTATTTCTTGCGCCATATGAAGATTGTTACCCATATTTCACTGTGTGCATTGTTCTGGGTTTATGTCCATCCTTCAGCACTGTCTGATTTGTGTTTTGTCCCATCAGAGCTGCGATGACCTCCATCCAGCAGTTGAGAGGGGACCTCACCTCCAGTGGAGATCAGCCATCCACTAACCTGGCTACATATTTCAAAGTGAGTCTCTCGAGGGGTTGCCACTGATTAAAATGCCCCATGAAACTTCACCTTTACCAACTTAATTGGACCTGCTTTCCTCTCACCTGTGATCAGAATTGCACCGTGGACCCGACGCAGGGAGTGCTGAAGCGTTTGGAGACCCTCGGGCAGGTGTTCAGCCAGAGGTTTGGCCAGGCTGTCGGCCTGCGCTGTGTCGCTCTCGGTTTGCAGGTATAAACCAACACTGAAGAAGACAATGAGCAACAATGGCAACACTCCAGTGCTTAAATAATCTTGTGTCTGACTTGTGTGTATTCTTTCCTCTTTCAGAGATTTAAACTCGGCGTCAGACTGTATTACAAAGTCATGGAAGCTATGCTGAAATCGGTAATTGGTTTATTTGATTTATTAAGTTTCCAACTGTCTTTTATTTACTTACTTTGTATTTGCATTGTTTTTATTTATTTGAAACGCTTAGGTAAGTTTAAATGTAGCAGTTCCCGGTTTAACCCAAAACAATGTATCTTAGGAATCCATAATTGATAAATCTACTTTATATTTGCTAACAATAACTTCTTTGCCTTTTTTTACTTCCTATGCTTTAAAGAGCAAAGAGAATATCTTAATGAAGGCAACTACCATGATCTGTAGACTTTATACATGTCTGAAATAACGTATTCATGTTGTTCTCTTACCATTTTATAGGAAGAGAAGCGACTTTCCGTGCAGAATTTCAGGTATGTGTTTTTTATTAAATCCCAATTGTGAACTCAGTCGTTGTAATGACTTGTTCATGCATGCTTTATATATATTTTTATTTGAGGTGAAGAATAGATAAGCGTTTAAGAGTTATTTGCCTTGAGCTAAATCAAATGGTTTTACTTCCAGTAAACTCCTCAATGACTCCACGTTCCACACATCACTGCTCGCCTGCGCTTTGGAGGTAGTGATGGCGACATATGGAGGTAATTTTCAAACTAAATGGGAAATAACTGTCGTATATAATTCCTTTCATCTTACAGTTATCTGTAGCAAGTTGTAATAATGTTGTTTTCCTCTCATGATTAGAGAGCAGTTTTAAGACTGGAGGATACAACCACGGGGGCTCTGGTGATCCCGTTGAAACAAACGTGTGTTTCCCCTGGATCCTAGATGTGGTCAACCTCTCTGCGTTCGACTTCTACAAAGTCATCGAGAGTTTCATCAAGGCGGAGCCCACTCTGAGTAAAGATATCGTCAAACATCTGGAGACCAGCGAGAACCTCATCATGGAGAGGATTGCATGGAGGCCGGTGAGTTTGATCTCTCATCACCACTACAGTATGCTGGCAATAATCTCTCATGTTAAAGAGCTTAATGCATACACAACATGTAAATATGACATCTTTAATCATTTGCCAAAGAAAAAAATACACACAATTATTTTCCTAAAGTATTATTACTACATTTTAAGAATTACATAAACAGGATCAACATACTTTATAAGGTTCGTGCAGCATTCTGGAAAAGGAGGCAACATGTTACATTCACTACATATAAAGAAAAGTCACGGCATATCAATATGTTAATGGCTGATTAAACTGTCGGAGTACACAACACAAAAGAACTAAGCTGTCATTGTGCTTCTTATAGTAGCATGGCACCAAAGCAAACACACAAGCCTGCTCAACGTTATAATTCCTTACAATAATACAGAGTACATGTTCAACACACACAGAGTTATCTTAGTTTAACTTCTGAAGAACTGCAGCCACAGTAGGAGCAACAGGATGCTGTAGTAGTAGAATAGAAAAAGTCCTGGACAATTGAATGAATCTTAATCGAGTGCTTTTAAGATAATGATAGAAATGATCTGTGTTACTGGCTGCCACTGCCTCCCCCGGGCGCCTCCCTGTGCAACATGCTGCTGGAGAAATAGTAGATGAGTGGATTTAGGCAGCAATTGGAGCTTGCTAGTGAAAGCACCACGGGGTGCACCGCCTTGGTCACCTTTGCCAGGCCACAATAGGGCAGCAGTCCCACGTGTGTGAGAGTGTATCCCAGGAGGTTGACGTGATAGGGGACGAAGCAGAGCAGGAAGATGCCGAGCACCCAGTAAATGATGGTGAGAGTGTGCTGGCGTCCTCGGCGCTGGCTGCGAGAGCGGTGTCTCGGATGGCGAAGCACCCTCAGCACCCTGCAGTAGCTGCAGAGGAGAAGCAGAGCGGGCAGCAGAAATGAGCCCAAGACGAGGCCCAGAGCTACCAGGATGATTTTGCGGTGGCGTTGGGAGGAGGGGTCCAGCAGACAGGGCTGGTGCTGGTGAGCGGCTGCAAAGCGCAGCAGAGGCAGACTCACACTGAGCCCCAGCACCAGGCACCAGATCCCCCCACTCACCAGCTGTGCGGCACGCAGCCTGCGGAGCGTAGAGGCCAGCGGGTGCACTACGGCAAAGTAACGGTCCGCAGCAATGCACACCAGGAAGAAGATGCCCCCGTACAGGCTGATGTATTTGAGGGTGAAAGTGAGGTGGCAGTACGCCACACTAAAAGTCCAATTGGACAAGTCTCCTGTCTTGGCTCTGGCCCGCTGGTAGTAGTAGAATATTCTCAGAGGCAGAGAGATTACAAAAAACATGTCAGCAGCAGAGAGGCTGACCATGTAAATGGCTGTGCTGTTCATGGTGCAGGGAGACAGACACAGTCTGCGCAGAGCCAGGCTGTTGGTGACCAACCCCAGCAGGAAGATGATGCTGTAGGACACCTGATAGAAGGTGAAGCGGTAGCTGGTGTCCACCGTGCAGTTAGACAGAGGGGACACAGGCTTGGCTGCCACATCACTCATATTCCACACGTCCATGTCTTAAAATGATTGACTTTTCCAGCACACAGTTAACGCAGTGTCACTCGTATACCTGGAGGAAATAAGATTAAAGTGAGTGAAAAGAACAGGTTTAATGGCAGTTAAACCTGTAGCTCGTAAAGTCTTATTAAACTCTGCTGTTTTTTATGGAATGTAAATATGTTGAGGTGACATGAATACACAGCTTCAGCTAACATATATATATATTTCATATGTAAGGATACAGTCTAACTGTCAATAACGTTTTGACTGCAACTTCCTGCTCATAAAACAAGCAAACATGTAGTTTCATTACATGCAGTGGGGTGGGGAAAAGAATCACCTCACTGGAGTGTTGACACCGTTCCCCTGCAGTAAAATCACATTTGTTGAAGTTGATTGTTATATTTGAGTCTTTATTGGTAAGAGTATGATTGTGAGAACTCTTTACAAATGTCTCTTTTTCCTGCGTTTGGAATACATAACGTCATCAGGATATTGTTGTACCTTGTCCTCTTTTATTTTACGTAATTCTCTAAACACTCCAGTCCCAAAATAACTATTGTGTTAAACAATACCGATGACTGAAGAATAATATTATTAAGATACATTTTCAAATACACAATGTGAGACTGTTTTGAGTCCATGAACATCGATCATCACTTTCAGTCTCTCGATTACATTTTCATTTTTTTTTTTTTTAATCATCAGCAACAATGTTGACAAGACTCCTTTTCTCTATGACCCAAGGAATTGAAACATATTTTCTTCAAAACTCTTTTTCTCCCTTCATATTTAAGTTGTCTGCATTATTGATCTGAAATCCACTCCTTTATAATCCTTCACTTGTCACACTGAGTGTCTGATGAGTATCCAGCTGTTGAAATGATCTTGATGTTGTTTTAAAAATTGCAAAGCATGTTTTGTGTCCTAAGATCAAATCCTATTCGATGGTTCCTTAGCCCTAAAAGCCGAAGAAATTCTCAAGCATTGTGCATTCTGTCATTAGATACTTGTTGTGGATTCAACTGTTAAGTTTCTACTACATCTTGATAGGCTTATACAGTAAATTGCTGTTTTCATTTAATTAAATTGAAGTATTTTCTAGTCTTTGCATATAAAACTGAGAAGGATATTGGAAGATAAACTCACCAGTATCAAGTCGCAGTCATGAAGTGATTCTTGAAGACAGCTGGATCATTTGTTAGGATGCTGTAACGGTGCACATGCTACTGATGGGAGCAGTTCACGCCTACACCTACTCACAGGTCAGGGTCTCCCTCTCTCCCCCTCTCCTCTCCCTCCTCTCCTAGCCGCATGTCTTGTAGTTTGTTTTATTTACCTAATATAAAAACATTTTATGAGCTTTAAAATGACTCGTCACACAGTTGGCTTAAGGAAAGACTTGTTATTTTCAACAAACGACTTTTCTTATTTGACTACATTTTGTGATCAGCCTTACAATTAAGCACAGGTTGTTTCATGACTGTCATGGTGGGTGTCATGTTTATGGCTTCTTGTTAAAAACATACACGCTTGATTGGAGGTAATCATTAACTGTGCTGATAAAGGAATAGCAATAATTCACTGAAAGTGTGTCCTGTGTGTCAGCCTTGGGTCTGGCAGGGATCAACAAGTCAGTGTGTAGATCGGAGTCAGTGGATAATAGCCTTTTCATGTAATGTGTGTCTGAATTATTCAAACAAATCAAAATGCAGTAAAGAGGGATTCTATTTCATTTTCACATCAGATTTTCCCAAACAAAATTTGAATTTATTTAAAGCTATGTTATGCTCTGTTTGAATAATCTTGATTTGGAGAAGATTAGGCTAATAAAACATTACCATTTAACTACACACCACTTGGTCCTTATCAGACACATTTAGATGGAAATGTATAAGTAATATATGGGGAAGACAACATGTCTTGATTGAGAAACTGGAACATGGTTGTGTGATTATCAAACCAACCCTCATTTGAATGACCTACCCTGCTTTAAAACCAGTTATCCATTAAAATATTGCTTTTATGCTTATTGGAAAAGGTCCAGCTGCTTCTTTATATTAAATCTATTTAAATGGTGTAATCAACAAAGCCCAAACATAGCAAAAAAAGACTTAATAAAGTGCGGGTTGCTTTTCTCTAAGATGCCAGTTTTAAGTTTACATTCCGAGTTATTTTCCAGATCTTTCTCAGGATTGCATTAATGTGCCTTATTTTGTAAACGCACTTCTCCCTCGTGAGGCATGTTGTCGCTCGCCTGCTGTCACTGCAGACCCTCGGGCAACATGAGGAATGCTGCAATGCTCAGTCTTGCAGCACACCGCTTCTCCAAGAATGAACAAATATTCAAGCTGCAGCATATTCCACTTTCTCTCAGCTGTTTTCAACAGACATAATGGTCCGATGTGTAGCCAGCCTAGCTGAGATCTTTTAAATAATTCTCATCAAATTTGGCTTGTCTACAGACATAACCACCTATTGAGATAAGGCCATTGGCTGTGTTGACCGATGCAATGTGCATCTGTTAAACATTGAGTCATTGTGCCTTCATAGCGCACAGTACCTGTGGTTGTGTCGCTGGTGCTTTATGACTAATCAGTGTCGACAAACCATTCGGTTGCACCCAAAATGTTTCATATGAAAAACTGATACCCTGATACTGTCAAATATATCACCACACTATCGAACAAGTTACGAATTTCAAACTCAAAACCTTTTAAGTTAAAAATGCTTTTATTCGCTTTCAGTGTATAGGGAAAAAGCTGCTATTGACGCAATTCTCCATAAAGTGGTTCAAAGCCATAATCAGGCCACAAATACTTGTAAAATGAACAGTACATCAAAAGGGTTGTAATACTTGTTCAGCATTGCCAAAGCAGACTTTTTAAAAAGGAGAATCTGCTCTGGGAAATAAGACTAAAGTTAAGATGTCATCTGTGCAAAAGCTGAAACTTATTTTCAGCCCAGTGCCCATTACCATGGCTAAAACACACACCTGTCATTTCCACTAATACACACTTGTTTTCGAACTTGCGTTGTGAACTGGTAGCCCAGACAAGAGTATCTATGCTGCGACACACTTCCTGTTCTTCCTTGACTTGTTCCACTCTTCTATCGACTTAAAAGGGATCAGTGTCTTAACTCCAAGTCTAAAGTCTCTGCTCTGTGGCGTCCAGTAGATGAGAGTAACTCCTTAGTAACCGTTGTGTTGATGTGTTGTTATTGAGGTCACCTACGTCCTCAGATTGAAATCACCAGCAATCAATTCATTATTTATCATGTTCCATAATGGAGTCGACATCAGACTGTGGACTCATTGTGAGTCCACAGACTCTGTTGGGCTCTCGGAGACTGCAGGGCCAGGCTTTTGGGTGTTGTGTTTGGACTGCTTTGTGAGCTGTCCATCGTTAGTCTCTCAAATAGCCTCGCACCATTGTGCCATACTGTGGACTTGCGTTTGATGGAGCTCTGAATGGTCTCTGAAGTGAAGTAGTAAATGACTGGATCAAAGCAGCAGTTGGTCACTGCTATGCACAGCGCTATGGGGTAGATGGTTCTGACCACAGATTCTACGTTGCATCCCTTTAGGACTTTGGAGCGGACCATGGCGTAGAATATGAGATTAATATTGTAGGGAATGAAACAGAAGCAGAAAACGAAAAGATGCACAAAGATCATCCTTAATATTTTTGTCTTGTTGAGGGTCCCGCCGCGGGAGAGGACTTGGGGTTTCCTCAGTTTCCGTAGCACCATTATGGAGCAGAAGACATTGAGCAACAATGGGATGATGAAGCCCACAGTCTCAATAAACACCACCACCTTGGACAGCTCCGCCTTCCACTGATTTTCAGAGTAGTTTTCAAAGCAGAAGTTGGAAGAGGAGTTGGCATTTTTGGGTGAAGTGGTGTCCAAAAGAAATCCAGTGGGAATGCTTCCAGAAAGAACCAACACCCACACTGTGCAGCATGCCAGTTTGGCGTTCCTCTTAGTACGAATTGCCTGGGAGCGGAACGGGTGCACGATGGCCAGGAAGCGGTCGACACTGATGCAGGTGAGGAAGAGGATGCTGCCGTACATGTTGGTGTAGAACAGGGCCACAGAGATCTTGCAGAGCACGCTACCAAACAGCCAGTCGCGTCTAATGAAGTAAACAATCCGAAAAGGCAGGCTCAGGACAAAGAGAAAGTCTGAAACTACAAGGTTTATCATGTAGGTCGTGGTCTCGTTCCGCAGCTTCAGTGTACAGCCAAAAATGTAAATAGCCACCATGTTAAATATAAGACCAACAACAAACACCACGCTGAAAACCGAGCTGTACAGTGTGTACTTGAAGCCGTCATTCTTGCTGCAATTCATGAAAATGTGAACGGAGCTTGGTGTGGTTAAGGTGTAGTTATCCATTTTTATACCGGGTTGTAACTTTTACAGAGTTAAAATGTGCTCCTCAATCGTGTACTTGTGTCAGTCATAAAAATCCAGTCTCTTAATCCAACCATGTGCTCTAGGCAGCGAAACGTTACGCTTCATTTGGGTAGGAAATGCAGTCCTTGAATACTAAAGAAGGCTCAGTTTGTGTGGTTATCTTATATACCAGAAAGTATACGGCAACTCCTCAAAATACCTGTATTAGTATCCAAAGTCCTTATGTTCTGAAAGGGAAAGTTCTGCAGTCAAAAGTCCTCGTTCAGAACGTTTCCCAGTCTTTCACAGCTCTGATCCCCTGTGAGAGTAGAATCGTGTGCCTCTCCTCAACAGCGTGAGCATTCAAGTGGTTCTTCCCTTCTTTTGTTTCCTGTCAGTTCCTGTAGCAGCCCCGCGCGGCATGGTGTTTGTTCCTCTTGAGTTCCAGAGGTTTGACTCTGCTCCGGCCAGACTGGAAACCAGAAAGCTCTTAGCAGGCTGCTGCTACACAATGATCTACTGGACTGTTCAAACACACAGGGAGGAGCGTCCTCTGGAGTCAAAGTCCTCCCATCACTGCTTTGTTTTTACACTCATTTGAATATGTAGTCTGACATTGTTGTGCTGCATTATTTTCTTCTTGACTGATAGAGGTGTGTTTAGATCAACTTCCCAAATCTTAAAATTGTACTTAAATAAACAGGCGTTTTTGTTTCCCTAAATAAACATTGCAGTGTTGGCATCCGCTATGCATGCTGTCATAGCAATCGAATACAAGTGTACTTTCAAAATGTGTAATCCGCTACAGCCGGGTGTGGCATGTTTTGCACAAAGAATGTGCTAACGACAGGTTTATACCTGCAGCCGCTGTGCAAATGGCTGAGTAGTAAACCGCACCCACTGCCGTGTATGATCTCAACACTGAGTTTTGGCCTGGTGTAAAGATGCTGATAATCCAGTACTACACTGCTCTGTATGTCATTTCATCTGGAGTTAAATGTTGTTTGAGAATTGTTGAGGATATTTACAGTGTGTAGGCAGGATTGGATATGTTGGTATTTAGAAGGTCTTTCAGTTATCAGTCAAATCAGATAGGATGCTATAGGGAGTGTCCTTGGGTAAATTGTGTATACTATGAGGAACAGACATATCAGCAGCCCCTAGTTATAATTTGACAGGTGTGTTTTTGCAAAGGAAATTAGGTGTGTAAAATGTAAATGTTTTTCTGAATAAACATGTAAGCCATGAAAGAGGCGGCAAAATATTGTAAATATATTTATATATAATCCTGTTTGTGTCTCTGCAGGGCTCACCACTGTTTGAGCTGCTAACACAGGAGCATGAGAGCGGCGCCGCAGAGCAGGTGGAAACCCCGGCCAGTTTCAGCCAACCGCTCCAGCACAACCACACTGCAGCCGACCTGTGAGTCAACCACAACCTACTTATCTCTCGGCCAGTTGCAGTTCTGAGAACTTTATTACACTTCCTTAAACTGTTGGGAAACCACTATGACTCATTACAACAAGTCACATAGTGTACAACTTGAATTAAGTTATAGTTGCATTGCATGTATCATAATACTAGTAAAAAGACATTGTTACATTCCATGACTAACTCACCATGAGCCTTTCTCACCTTGTTTTACTAAAACCTCCCATTGTGTGATTTTAACATATTGTTATCTTGAATGTTTATGATGTAAATGACATGCGGTTTCCCTATTGTCCCTACAGATACCTCTCCCCCATGCGTCCCGGCTCCCGTGTTTTGCCTCCTGACTCCCCCGCCCCGCCCAGCTCTCAGGTTTCCTCTCAGCCTTCGACCCAGAACGCACGACTCCCAAAGTCCAACTCTCTCAGCCTCTTCTATAAAAAATGTAAGCTGACTTTCCAACCGAAGATATTTATTCTCATTGATCAACATCACTGTCAGAAAAATGTTCAACTGTTTTCCCTTGGTCAGATTGAGGTCACTGTGACCTCCCAAAGCATGTTTTTGAAGTCAAAAATTAATCTTCTAATTATGACTATTTCACACAAATATCTAGGGAAGCTCCCGTGGAGACATACAACACAAGGTGACAAATCAAGTTAATTCATTTCCAACCGTCTCTGTGGTGTCCTCTCTCTGCAGTGTACCGCCTGGCCTACAGCAGGCTGAAGATCCTGTGCTCCTACCTGCTGTCCTCGCACCCCGAGCTGGAGCCCATCATATGGACTCTGTTCCAGCACACGCTGCAGCACGAGCACGAGCTGATGAGAGACCGCCACCTGGACCAGGTAACCCTAAATACACCCGTCTGTTTGCTCTTGCCTTTTTTTGTCTCTGTTTTTTACATCAAACCGCCTCTCATTGTTCTCTCCTGCAGTTGATGATGTCAGCCATGTATGCCATATGTAAAGTGAAGAGCGTTGATCTGCGCTTCAAGACCATCGTCACAGCGTACAAGAACATGGCCAACACCAACCAGGAGGTGACACCTTTAATGCCAACAACTATCCTTTTTTTGCTTTTTTAATCACACTTCATTTCAATGTTTTTGTGAACATTTTTTGTTTGTTGCAGACCTTTAAGCACGTGTTAATCTCCGAAGGCCACTACGACTCCATCATTGTCTTCTACAACCAAGTGTTCATGCAGAGGCTGAAAACCAACATCCTGCAGTACGCCTCCACCAGGGTGAGCCCCCCCGACCCCCCCCCTCCACCACGTTGGATCTGCAGTTTGACTTTGATACAGTCATAATCTGATAAACTAACACGGCTAACAAACCATCTCATTGTTGCTGTTCTGTTTCTTTTAGCCACCCACCCTCTCTCCGATCCCACAAATACCGTGCAGCCCCTACAAGTTCCCCAACTCCCCCCTCCGGGTGCCTGGGAGCAACAACGTGTACATCTCCCCTCTGAAAAACCCCCGCATGTCCCCGGGGATCATGACTCCTCGCTCCAGGTGAGAAAAGTGTTTTAAAACTTTTTTTAACTGCCATAAAATTACATATTACTAATTAATTTCCACTTTTACTTTGATCCATCACTTCATTCCCTCACTACCATATAATCATGTCTTTTCAGAATTGTAACCCTTTAATAAAACTGTTTGTTCATGTCATGTAACCATTCTTTTTAATGAGAAAATAAGCATTTATTTTCAGTTGACTCAATATTATACTTTATGTTTTTCTAATAATTTAGATTTTGATGTATTGGATCAAACAGTGCAGAACATGTATTATCCACATAGGGCAAACCGGATAACATTCCAACTTCACTTGCAAAAAACACGATCTTCACACAACTTTCTCTCATTCGTGTTTTTCCCTTCACAGAATGCTGGTTTCAATCGGGGAATCTTTCGGGGTGCGTACATCTTCTTTTTAAAATCACTGAGCATTTCATTCAAATTAATCTGCAATTCCATTTATTTTTTCTCTCACTTACTCTATCTGTCTGTTTCCATCTGCAGCTGTCCAACCGCTTCCAGAAGATCAACCAGATGGTGAACAGCAGCGACCGCTCCTTTAAGAGGGCTCTGGACATGGGCTCCGGTCCGAAGCCCCTGAAGAGGCTACGCTTCGACGTGGACGGGCAAGATGAAGCCGATGGCAGGTTGGTCACAAACAGGGTTTTATTTACAGCACAATGTATCATGGCATACAAACATGAATAGGGCTCACTGTCTTTGTTTTTATTTACAGCAAACCTGGAGGAGAGTCTACTCTCATACAGAGGCTTACAGATTTGAGTGAGTGCAAACCGCTTTATATATTATATGAAATCTTCTTCATGTGTCCTTGCTGTCAATCACATCTTTGGTCCTCTAACATCTTGATGATTGGTCTCTGTAGGCTCCACTCGGAGTCGCGTGCAGGAGCAGAAGATGAAGGAGGACGCAGAACTGAGGAAGGAATAACTCTATGCTACTGAACCGACCTGCACTGTTTGTCACAACGTGAACACTATTTCTACTGTTCACACACAAAGTGAAAAACACCTTCCTCTGTACATTTAGTATTTGATTTTAGTTTGTATTTAACTTCGTCTTTGAGGAGTAATATGTGAATATAGAGGACTTTCTCCTCTTTGTGTGTGTTTTTTAACTGAATAATGGATGAGGTCATTGAATTTCATTTGAATTTTTACTTTAAAAATGTAAGTGTGTTTTAAGAGTGGTATTAATTTGTGGGTGTTATTAGGAATCATAGTTTTCACTCTCAAGGAGGTTCGCAATTGTCAAAGCGCTGTCGAGGTGTATCGTTGGTTTTCCCGTTAAATAATTCAGTTGAACCAACATTAGGAGCTTCGTATGTTGACCGTTCTTCTTTTCAAATGTTTCTATCACGATGCAACATTTCAGGTGTTAAATCATGATCCTTCTCTTCAGAAAGGATTAAATGTCGCTTCAGATGGAAGTCCAAATGTCTTTCCGTGCAGCGTCTTTACTTTCAAACTCATGTCTTGAATGGGAAAATTCTTAGAACACCTAGAAAAAGTTTAGTTTGTGTCATAAAGTGGAACGATTAGATGAGACAAGGACAATGATATAGTTTATCATTTGCACTCAACCAAAATGTGTAGTATCATAGGATCTGATGTACTGCTCATTTATCTTTCTGTATACAATAATAGTAACTTTTGTATTACTTTTGAGTGGCTACACATCAAACGCCTCCTGATGTGTTTTATCTTAACGACTATTTTCCATGTTCTCAGTTAACAAAGAGTTGGTAAAGGGGGGTGGGGGGTGATACATACAAACCACATACAGCATTAATTTCAACTCAAGTACTACAAGGGAAAACATTGCTAGAAATGTCAACTACAGAGTTCATTTTTTTATTAAAATGTGTTTATATTGTACTTTATTGAAGTAGTTCCTTGAAAATGTAGTAAATATTTCTTTTGAAAATATGATTTGGTTGTTTTCCGTTATTGGCTGTAACTGAATAACCAGCTGAAAGACTGAGCATTATGATTTTACTTATTCTGATTTGTATTCGATGTCAGGGCTGTTACAATGTGCTCTAAGGGGTTGTGTGGTCTTTTGACAATTTGGCAAGTTTTCCTATGGTGAAATATTCAGAAAAAGAAACATGACTAATTTTAGTTCTTCTTTTTCAGGATTCACAGGGCACATTTCTCTTTTATTGTGGTCAGCTCTTGTACAGGGCCCTGTTTCCCATCCAAAAGCTAAAATATCATGAAATACGTCTTATGACTCAAATAATCTCAACCAAGATTATTTATGATCAGGCCCAGAAAAATTAAGAGAGAAGAACATCTTTATTTTAGTTACAATCCAGAATGTATCCAAACCCATATTAGCCAAATCTTCTACCAAGAATATACATTTGTTTTAGTCATTATTGCCACCCGTCATGTTTTATCATCTTCTGTATTTCTAGAATTGCAGTCATAACAAAATAGCTTTAGGTCTACTACGGTCCTTTTACCCCCTCTGCTGGGAAACAGCCAATCAGGATTCACTTCCACACATGATCACAGACATAAAGGGAAACATGTCACTGTGCACATGGTCATATTTGACTGTGCTTGACCAAAAATGGGCCATCCTTTAAATGTAACACATGCAACACAGTGCTTATTAAATACTTAAAGTATTAATTCCACAATGTACAAATAATACATTTCAATTTTTGCATTGAAATATTGATAAAAGTATTATCAGTCAAAAAAAGTAAATGTACTCAATACAGATAAACTGGCCCCTCTGACTGCACTGAAAACATTTCAACACATTTCACATCACTGTATTAGGTTAGTTAAAGAAATAATATTAAGTTTAAATAAAATATATTAAGTTGAACTTAATATTAATATATAACTAAATACACACGCCTAATGTGACATTTGTTGGCATAATGTATTTAATTCAGGTGAAGGTTTCAGTTTTTTCAATGTGATGTAGTTATATTTAATATACTATATGTATACTGTATATTATATACTATGTAATTCGAGTATTATTAATGTGGATATTTATTGGTTGAGCTCTATTTTGTTTACAATTTGGTACCGGACTGCAACAAATGATAACATTTCCTGTGATTGAATATAGGCCTACTGATTATTTTCTGTGCTAATTGATTGATTGGTTTGTAAAAAATGTATGCCCAAGTAACACTTTCCAAATATGTGCCATCGCCATCCAAACCACAAAATAATTATACCACACTCACTATAGGCTACAGTTAATTTGACTCTTAATGTACTGACAAAGACCCAGTAAAGTAATCAAAGCAGAGAGGATAAGAGCTTAACATGTTAACAGGAAGGTGGAAGAAAAATGTCTATATATTTCGCTTGCAGCTCCTTGTTTTCCCCGTGCTGTGGACTCTCCTCTGGGACCGTCTCTGACAGCTGCTGCCTGCTCAGTAACAGTCTCCCTAATTGTAACATGGCACTGTTTCCAACAGGAGACCAGAGTTAATTTATGTTTCAACGCAGAAACAGTTTGGCTTGGGCCCAGCCAAGCATGAGACACTTTAAACAGACTATGTTTTTAATTGGCCTCGCCCCATGGGGGGTGAAAGTGTGTTATTGAGGTTGTTGGTGCTGTTTTCATGTAGTCAGCCGGTGGCACATGCTCGCAGGACACCCAAGTGCTCAGTTCTCCTCTTTCTGAAACCTACTCATATTTTTCTACTTCATTTGTGAAGCCTAAAGTTGCTGGGATAAGAAATATAATTGATGTATCCAGAGAATGTGATACTGTCCCCAGTTAAGGATCTACTGCTCCTCTTTTTCACCAGCGATGGAAAACCTCACGGTAAGCAAAGTTTTATACAGTTGGGTTTGTTAAAATATTTAAGTAGATGTAACTCTAGGCCAAAGGTTCAATGTAAATCTCTTGTTCCAGTTTCATTTAAACTGTTAGAGTATTTTTTTTTAAATGTTATGATGTGGAGATAAATCTGTACTCAAGTATCTGCTAACGGTCATTAAATAACTGTTTGAACATTTTGTTTAGTTGTTTTTTTACTTGAAATCATTTGTAAAATCTACCTTGGTTTTTATTGATCCTTTAATTGTCTCAAATTCAGGCTTTATCGTATGAAAATAAATTAGAAGTTAGTTTTTTCCTCCATGAAATCTGACTTTAAAATCTTAAAATCATAAAATGTCTAAATGCACACCTGGTTCTTCTGCTGTCCTGTCCCTCAGCCAGAACAATGGCGCGAGATAATGAACCGGAAGATGCGATTCCCTCCGGAGCTCATCGCTGCCATCCAGGAGGGGAAGATAGAGCATCTTCGTGGGCTGCTGAAGACCGGCGACGGCATCCTCCGCCAGCTGGAGGAGTCCGAGGACCGCCAGTGGAGGGAGGCCCTCAACCTGTCCATCCGCCTGGGCAACGAGAGTTGCATGGATGTCCTCCTGCAGGGGGTCAAGTTCGACTTCCGGCAGATTCACGAGGCCCTGCTCGTGGCCGTGGACACCAACCAGCCCCGGGTGGTGAAGCGCCTGCTGGACCGCCTCGACCAGGAGAAAGGAAACAAGATGGACGTGCGCTCCTTCTCCCAGGCCATCTTTGACCAGTCAATTGACAACTCCCAGTTTGCTCCTGGTGTGACTCCTCTGACCTTAGCCTGCCAGAAGGACCTGTACGACATTGTCGCCATGCTCACCCGGAAAGGGCACGTCATCCCGTGGCCGCACAAGATATCCTGCATCTGTCTGGAGTGTCGTAACGGCCGGCAGTACGACCTTCTGAAGTTCTCCTTGTCTCGCATCAACACCTACCGTGGCATCGCCAGCCGCGCCTACCTGTCCGTCACCTCTGAGGACGCCATGCTCAGAGCCTTCACTCTCAGCAGGGAGCTCCGCATGCTCTCGCAGAAAGAGCCAGAGTTCAAGGTCCGGTGATATTGGTACACGTTCCTCACTTCCTGTTCATGTTGGCTGTCTGTGTTGTAACCTGACTCTCCTCCTGCAGCCTCAGTACCTGGGCCTGGAGGAGCTCTGCCAGGAGTTTGCCGTGGAGCTGCTGGGCATGTGTCGTAATCAGAGCGAGGTGACCACCATCCTGAACAGCTGCGGAGATGAGAGCCAGGACTCCTTGGAGGAGCAGGCCTTCGATGAGGGGATCCCCAACCTGTCCCGCCTGCGGCTCGCTGTCAACTTCAACCAGAAGCAGGTAGCTGGATGCAGACACTACGGTCAGTCAGAGAGGATTAAAGTAAGAAGATTCAATCCATAATGTGTTCCTCCCTCTCTGTGTGTTTGTTTCTGTGGAAGTTTGTGGCCCACCCCATCTGCCAGCAGGTGCTCTCCTCTATCTGGTGCGGGAACCTGGCTGGATGGCGGGGCAGCAGGACGGCCTGGAAGCTGTTTGTCTCCATGGTGATCTTCCTCACCATGCCCTTCCTCTGCCTCGTCTACTGGGTCGCTCCAACGTCAAAGGTCATATCACACAAAAATGTCACAGACTGCCATGAGATAGGAAAATACGATTAACACACATGTGCATGTGCACAGAATATGAGACAATGGACCCTTGGGAACAAATTAGTTAAGGGCCCCCTACCCTGTCCATTTATAGATGCAAAACATAGTCTTTTTTTGTTTTATAGTCATTTTGTATCTCTTATAGGGTTCCTATAGATCTTTATAGAATGTAATGAAATCCTTTTTATTATTTAATAAAAAAAATAAAAAAGCTCCTGACTGGTATTTGGATGTCTTAAATCTATATTTCCAAACTATTATATTTGCTGAGACATAGAAAACATATTTTTATCAATAGTCTTTTGTATTTTTGAAAATAATTGGTAAGCTCTAGCATATTTAAAAATAATTTACCAAATGTGTCTTGCATAAAAGTCACGCAGATCTAGATGGCGGTAACATTTAGCAAATAATTGGCCATACATTTCATTCCAAGTGGCATTCAAAAAGGTAGGCCCCCCAACCTCTTGGCCTTCTCCACATGGGCCCCTTTAGAGATCCATTCATGCATGTGTATATTGGCCCTAAAATCGTCTTTCTGTTTTTCACCAGTTGGGAAAGTTACTAAAGATTCCTGTGATCAAGTTCCTCCTGCACTCAGCCTCCTACCTGTGGTTCCTCATCACGTTACTGGGAGAGTCAATAACCATGGAGATGTATCGAACCAAATTTGCTTCCCGGCATCAGGACATGCTGCACAGCTCCTTCCACATGGTGTGGGTGGTCGGTGAGTTCCTTAAAGTAACCATGCCTGAAGGACACACAGGAAACTCAGTGTTTAACACCAAGGGGTCTCCCCGCAGGGTTCTTCTGGTACGAGTGTAAGGAGGTGTGGATCGAGGGGCTGCGCAGCTACTTCCTGGACTGGTGGAACTGCCTGGACGTGATGGTGCTCGGAATGTATCTGGCCTCCTTCGCGTTACGTCTGCTCATCATGCTCAAAGGCTTCTTTGTGTGCCATGGGCATGATGTCACAGAGGAGTGCGTTTACTTCACTCAGGCTGGTGAGAAAACGTTTCAAAAGTTAAAATACTTTATTTGTCATATGCACACAGTAGTAGTTTTGGTAATGAACATCTTTAGTCCTCCTACAAAGATGCAACATACAACAGACTTAACAGAAAAAAGACGTGCAACAAATGCAATTGAAATTGATTAAAGTAATTTGCAGGAATAAGAAAAATGTGCACATACATACATAAAACAGAACAAAACTAAACAGGATGTAAAATTAAATTATTTACAGTAGAATAATTACAGTTTACTGTAATAATATATAAGATCCAAATATGATAAGATCATTCATCCAAAATAGCTGAATTCTTAAATGAACACTTAGGACACAAAATGGTCATTTGTATATCAATTATTCACCCTGTGTGACCTTGAATTATTAAATAGAAGAATCTAAAGACAGGGGAAAGTTTGACAAATCACAGTGAATGGGGTCTTTGTTTAACAACAGTCAAACTAAATCATTTACCAACTCTCTCACATCGTGTGAATTGTAATCCAAGTTGCTTTTATCCAGCTTTTGCTCACTACTTCCCTCACCCCTGGCTCTCTGTCTGACTGTGTGTCCCACAGTGCGTGAGGACTGGCGTCAGGAGGACCCCCAGCTGCTGGCCGAGGTTCTGTTTGCAGTGACCAGCATGCTGAGCTTCACGCGGCTGGCCTACATCCTGCCAGCTCACGAGTCCCTGGGAACTCTGCAGATCTCCATAGGGAAGATGATCGATGACATGATGAGGTATAAGCATCCTGAAGCTTAATTCTGCACATTTCTGTACTGATCACTGACCGAGGGGGACTTAACCTGACAGAGCTGATGAGAATGTTTTTCTTTCTTTTTTAGATTTATGTTTATATTGATGATCATCGGAACAGCCTTCCTCTGCGGCATCAACAATGTCTATGTTCCTTATGTCCTCTCTCCACACCTTGGCAGGTATGATTAAAGGATTCTGTTCTTACAGCTGCAAGGTGAACACAGTAGAATATTGTTGCTGGCTTGATTTGTCACACAGTCATTCAAGCTTATCATAATGATCAAAATCAGTAAAAAAAAAAAAAGGTCCCTGAACCTGTAAGAAAAAACAAAGTAGAAAGTTGAAAATAATCCAAAGAATGTGTTTTTATTTCTTTGCTATTGAAGTCCATTACCCCAATGTGATTTTAAAAAAAAGGTCCTGTAAGTCATTATATTGAGAAACCTTCTTAAATGAATGACTTGTAGTACACTTACTAGAAGCCTGGTCAAACTAAACTTAGTATCTGAACATAAGTTTATAGGTTATTTTGAGATACTAATTTGTGGAGAGGTCATTATAAGGATTTACAGAATCTTTTTGATTTCACATCACCCAGCAAGTTTCATCTTGTTTATACTTTTAATAAGGTTGTAATTGCCCAAGAAAATCTTCCATTTGTAAATCCAACACAGGAAATAACATCAGACAGTTTCTAAAACTAATAATATACATGATATATTTCAGCATGTCCATTTAAAAGAGTATGAAAACCGACCCATCATGCTTTGCTGCAGGTTTAATGAGACGTTCCACTTCCTCTTCTGGACCATGTTTGGCGTGGCTAACCAGGACTACGTGGACATGCCCCAGTTTGTGGTGGCGGAGTTTGTAGGAAGGATTCTGTACGGCATCTTCACCCTCGTCATCGTCATCGTCCTGCTCAACATGCTTATCGCCATGATCACCAACACCTTCCAGAAAATTGAGGTAAAGCGGTATTTTCTTCTGTCAGACCTGAAAGATAGGCAGAAACTAACGACTGTCGCTAACATCCGAGCATTTCTATCTCAGGATGATGCAGACGTTGAGTGGAAGTTTGCCCGCTCCAAGCTGTACCTCAGTTACTTCAGAGAAGGCCTCACCATTCCCGTGCCCTTCAACATCATCCCCTCACCCAAAGCCTTCTACTACATGTTAAGGTGAGCTTTAAAACAATGGAAACTGCTGACTCGTCTCAATTTTCGTCTTTATTGATTGTTTTTGGATTCTGTTCCAGAGGTCTCTTCAGACTAATCTGCTGCTGCTGCACTTCAAATGCTGAGAACAAATATCCTCCTATTCCCTCTATGGTAAGTTGAATGCTCATATTCAGCAGTGTGACTAGAAAAAAACAATGTTCTTCATAATATTTGCTAAACGCTGTGATGTCATGTGATTTAAGAGCAATGATAAGGAGCCTGAAGAGGACCAGATACCGTACCGGCAGCAGGTGATCAGAGCTCTGGTGCAGCGCTACATTGAGTCGGCACGCAGGGAGTTCGAGGAGAACAAGAGGAAAGGTACGTGAGGATGAAATAAATGTCTGAGAGTCCTGTTGGGTTCCATCTTTCTACTCTTTCTTATTTACTAAAGGTCCTTACAAAGATAAATGACAGAAATGCCTTTTATCTAAAAGGCATTTGTTTCTCATACTGCTGTGCTGCAGCACCTCTTTTCACCCTCTGTCTGAAACCAGAGTCCAGTCCGCTCTGATTGGTTAGCTGGCCGGCTCTGTTCTGATTGGTCAGCCGCTTAGAGATATCCCGCCCATTAGCCTATCACGAACATTGTGTTGGAGCGCTAGCCAATAGAAGTGTCAGTGTTAAATAGTGATGTCACTATGTTACAGAAGAAAACAAAGGTGTCCAATGAAGGCGTTTCAGACAGGGGGGGGAGACACATATTTATGTATAAAAGAAGACATGAAAAAGTGAATTTTGCATAATAGGGCCCCTTTAAAGTGCCTCCAATGCCGTTTCCCTTCCCTCAGATATCGGCAATCGGATCACTTTGCTGACCAAAACGGTCAGCAAGATGCACGGGGACATCAAGGTGGTCCAGCAGCTTCTGACGGAGGAGGGACACCCAGCAAGTGACCCACGGACCAATGAGGGCTCCTCTTTTCTGGGGAAATACATCATTGGTGCCAAAAACAATTTTGTAGGATTTAACAGCAAACCAGATGAGAAAGCGTCATCACTCAAAGTGCCAGTGCACAATGGAGAGAAAGAAGGGGTTACAGATCAAATTGAAACAGATAACAATCAAAATGTTGTTGGCGATTGTGAAGCAGAAGGATCGAAGCAGGTGACGGACTGTGATGTGGTGAAGATGGAAGAGGGGAGAGCTAAAACTGAGGTAGGGGATCAGAAGGAACCTGAGAAGAAAGAGCAGATGGAAGCAGACAATAGAGAAAATACTGAAGATGAAGTTAAAGTGGTAGCAGGGACAAGTTTTAATCATGTAGAAAAGGAGTCTAAACCCAAGGCAGGAAAAGGAAAGGAAGATGAGAAGCTGACAGGGGGGAAGGTGAGTGAAACACACACAGATACAACTCCTGACACAGTCAACAGTGAAAAGACAGAAACAAAGTCAGCAATGAACAAGTTTAGAGAAGCAGAGCTGAAAGAACAGAAAGTGGAGCCAAAGTGGAAGCAAGGTAAAAAGTTTGAACATGAAGCGGCAGGGGAAATTGCTGTCATAGAGGGCAATGCAAAGCCTGGAGCCACAACAACCGTCCCCTCCCCAACAGGAAGCAGCCTCTCTCAGGACACCGGCTTCGGATCAGAAGAAGGGGACGGGGCGATTGGAGGGACGGTAGTGAGGCCGTAGACATTTATAATTATTTAAAAGTGACAAGTTACACATATTGGGAAATATATCCTTGCCAATTCTAATTTGTTTTCTCTGTTTTTGTACCTAAAACTAAATATAATGTGCTAATTAATGAACTCCAGAGCAGCTGTCCCGTGTTGTGAAAAGGTCATCTAATGCTCTAATGCTGCTAGCTTCATATTTACTGCAGACTGGAAAGTGCTATCTGACTTTTCATCTAGCGTAACGCAAAACACAATTCATTTAGCTAAGTACTTAGTTATGTGAGAAAATCAGTAAGCAGAAACCTGTATGTGAAATAAGAAGAAACCTTATCTTGCTCTAACACAGAAAGCCTTTGACTTTCTTCTTAAAAAGTTATTTAAAAAAACATTGTTTGGCAAACGTTATCTTTAATTCCCCAATATTTTAAATTCGTCAGATTTAGGCAATACAATTAATTGATTCCGAAAATGGATGTCTATTAAAAATCCGTTTAAATTCAATTTATTTTATAATTGCTAACATGTTCAAAAGTAATTGTGCATCTTAAAGTCACGATGCTGAAATCAATAGGCTTTGATAAGCATCAGTGGCAGTTAAATAGGGTTACAGTGTATTACCATTACAAAAATACACTAATTAATCAGCTGAATGTAGTAACTTGAAACTGCAAAATGATGATTGGTGGGGTAGTTCTGTTGACATTTAAACATCAGAAGAAAGTAGAATTGTGCTCAATAAAAAGAATTGCACAATAGAAACTTTGTAACACAATTAAAACATTTGAAATCATTCATTTCTGTTTTTCCTGAGCTTAATGCAGGAGAACATTCACTCTGTGCTGATTAGTGTTGCTAACTCACGACCAGCAGCCCGCCACAGTGTGACAGAGCAGGTCTCAGCTTGTTTCACACATTCTGCTCCCCTGAGCTTGAATCAGTTCATTAAATCACCACCTGCAGCTCCACCTGTCCCCAGACACATGCACTCTTCCTGTGGAACACACCTGTGCACGTAACGCTTTGTCGCTGTTATTGGTGACTGATGCCATCATCATTTCTATTTTCAGTGTCTATTCTGTTAACCTGCTTCACGAAATAATTAAATATCACACTTTATTCATTCTGACACCAAAGCCCACAACATTTAGCACCAGGTAATGTATTTCATGTTTTACGTGCACAGGCATGATTTATCACCAGCCAATCACAATCACCATCCTGTTAGATGATGAGTTTCATTTCCTAATTAACAACACGTTTTTAGAACAGCATGCAGACATTCTCCTTTCCTCCATGCGAGTACAAAATATTTTGCTTTTTTGAAAATGTAAAAGAAAACCATTGCCTCAATACATTTAGGTCTAAATATGATCAGTAACAATAAATGCATAACCAAAGCTAGAAAAATGTACAGCAGCGTATGAAATAAAGAGACTTAAATAAAGACCAGTGTATAAAAAGTTTAATTCCCACACATCTAAAATACAATCATGTTTATTAAAATGACCCACATATACAAATAATAATTAAAAAACACTAAGAGCATGTATGAATTCATTGTACCCTATGCATTATATACAAACAGGCAATTCATGATGAAAATAGTAAATATAAATATGAGACCTGAAACTAGCTGCATATGTAAAACTATCATTCCAACGTAATATACAAAAAAAGAGCAGGGTGTTTCCAAAAGTTTTTTTTTAACAGTGGATAAGGGGAAGTGTGTTTTCAGGAGCCACACATCAGACAGTCATCTTTGTTCTCTAAGGAGCACACCACGGCAGCCATGTTTTTCTCTTTGACCTCCTCTTCCTCGCTGTTGCTTCCCGGGGCCTCCCTCAGCTTCTCCTTGTTCAGGGTGAACTGGATGGGGTTGGCGGCAGGCTTTGTCCGCAGGTAGTACATGCCGGTTTTCAGACCCTGCAGAGAGAAGAAGACGGCATTAGGACGTTTGTTTCTTGGCACTGCGATGAACATTGAGTATTCCCTCAGTCCTGACTTACCAACTGCCATCCATAGAAGTGCATGCTGGTCAGTTTGCCGTAGTTTGGCTCGGCGATATGGATGTTTAGCGACTGGCTCTGATCGATGTAAGCCCCACGATCTGCTGCCATCTTGATGACTGTCTTCTGGGATATTTCCCACACAGTTTTATACAGCTGCTTCAGATCAGCAGGGATCTCTTCAATACCCTGCAGACAAGTCAGACAGCATATTGATCACCAACAAATATTTTAATTATAGGAAGATTGTTACGACCCTGGGTCGTTAGGTCATTTGTGTGTACATTTTTCCCTCCTCCTGTGTCTGTGAGTGTGTGTGAGCAAGCAGGTGGTGCCCATTAGCTGATTAGCTACCTCCTGCATGCTGATTGGTCCACCTGAGGAGACAGGAGCATATTAAGCGGCAGCCGTGCAGTTCCTCGGCCGCTCTCGCTGACTCCACTTCTCCTACTCCCATCGCGGCGCTTTTTGATATTTTGTTCTATGGTGTTGTGAGCGCACTTTGGTATCGTTTGTCCTTCTCCTCTGGCTGCGGGCCAGTGTCACTTTACCTGTCTTTGCAAGACAGTTTATGTTCTCAGGAGTGCAAACCCTTTTGTTTTCTTTTCCCTTTTGGATTGATCGTTTTGTCATGTTTAAGGTAGTGTAGGTAAGAAGCCTGTATTTATTTTCTCGGTTAGGTAAGATTTTGATTTGTAAGGTTTGTTTCTTTTTTGTTGGTTTTGCTACTCCTGTTTTTGTATATATTTGGTAAATACATTTACCAAACGCTTTCTCTGACTCCGTGTTCTTGGGAGTGGGAAGAGTGGGGAGAGTGCAAATTTTGTGCTGCGCCTAGGTTCCCCTAGACCTGGGCGTAACATAAATTGGGGGCTCGTCCATCCGGTCTTTCCGGTTTTTTGATCGTGTTGGGTAAGCATGCTATTTCCTCTTCTCATACATTCTGGGTCTCTGGTTGACAGTTTTCTGTTTGGAATTCACAATGGAGAGTCAATTGGAATTGTTTACTACGGACCCTTCCATTGAAGGACTAGATGACTGCACAGTAGCAGATTTTAGTGTTAATTGCATAGTTTTATGATGTGTTTGTGCCTACAAAACAAAACAAAGAGGTTAAAAGACTCTTGTGTGCAGAAATAGTCGGGAAAGGGTGTATTAAGAGGGAAAAACATGAAGTGGTTGATCTCTCGGAGGTTTTCCCGCCCCACTCCAGGCCTGCCTTCCCGAGCTGGGATGTCCTGTAGGGAGCCTAACAGCTCGACTTCCTGCGCATCAGGGGAGGTAGAGCTCAGACACAGGAGTTGGAGGTGGAGCATGCACTAAGGGTAAAGTTCCTGGGATAGAGCGGGGAGTTCGCTTACCATCAGTCCAACAACCTACCCATAGATCACACCAACAAATCCCCATGACAGTTTTGATGTTGAGTTATGGCGATACAATTATTCCCCAGCCTTTCAGGGAGTCGAGGTAGACACGTAACTTTTAATGCTTTTGAAACGCATCGCCTATTATGCTGCAGTGCCAAAGAGAGTTGGTCTCTGTTATTACAATGCCCAATTGGTGGGGTAAAGCGTTAGGAAAGTCTGTAATGCCCCTGACCATTGAGGGAGCCTCCGATTATGAAATGTTGTAAAGCCCATGGGTCCTTCGAGCGTATGAATTGGTAACCCGGAGGGCATATACAGACCAAAAAATGTAGGAATGATAAGAAAAATGTCAACCAGACCTATGTAGAGTTTGCGAGGGGAAAAGGTGGCCTTTTATGGATAGTTGGTGTCAAGCCAGGCAAGTCACATCCATAGAGGACATGCGTGAGGGCTCCATCTTTTGGAAGAATAAAAAATCAGCTGTCGGATTCAAATTGCCACCTAAAAATCTGAATGAGCAGAAAGTTGCATCGCTTGCTGCTGCCTGCGGTACTGGCAGATTAATTTTTTAATAACTCATAGAAATGTTTTTTATCTTCCCAGTTTCACCGTGATCCTGGGGCAAGGTGACGGAAGGGTAAAATCTCTCCCTGTGGTAATGCCAAAACAGCTGAGAACAGGGGATACTATTACTGGCCGGTGAGCAAGGACAACTTCATCGTCACCTGTCCTAGTCTAAAAAGGAGGAGCAAAAAGACGGGTAAGAGAACACGTCCCCTAGGTTGTTCCAAGGCGAAGCCGCGGGCTGCCTTAAAGAGAACGGTTGCAAGAACCGTGGGTTGGAGGATACAACGTGATGAGGCGTATCAGGCACATGCCTCCAGCCGCTCCTTCACAGTCCTTCAGCAGTCGTTAGGCGTCTTCCGAGTCTTTAGAGCTTTACTGAGTACCGTTAATCCTTAAAGAGTCCCGTCTTTAGAATATAGTATAATATATATATATCATATACAGTCACATATATATACTAATCTCCATTATTTTCTTCTAAAACCCATGTATCGCAGTAAACATATTCTTTAGGGGGGGGGTGTTACGACCCTTGGGTCGTTAGGTCTTTGTGTGTACATTTTTTGTGGTGTGTGTGTGTGTGTGGTGTGTGTGTGTGTGTGTGTGGCTTGNCCAGTGTCACTTTACCTGTCTTTGCAAGACAGTTTATGTTCTCAGGAGTGCAAACCCTTTTGTTTTTTTTTCCCTTTTGGATTGATCGTTTTCTCATGTTTAAGGTAGTGTAGGTAAGAAGCCTGTATATTTATTTTCTCGGTTAGGTAAGATTTTGATTTGTAAGGTTTGTTTCTTTTTTGTTGGTTTTGCTACTCCTGTTTTTGTATATATTTGGTAAATAAATTTACCAAACGCTTTCTCTGACTCGGTGTCCGTGTTCTTGGGAGTGGGAAGAGTGGGGAGAGTGCAAATGTTGTGCTGCGCCTAGGTTCCCCTAGACCTGGGCGTAACAAGATTTAGAGCAATGATACTGAATAGTGGCTCTTTACCTGGATGGAACCGTTCTGACCAATCAGCTGGTTCTTCATCTCGTCGCTCCACAGCCCTCTCTCTGTGAGGTCCTTCAGCAGGTGAGGGTT